CAGACTGTCGAGCCCTCAAAGGCGGTCGAAATAGGCAGGGTCGCCTCCAACTCAGCTCTGTTGCCATTTTGGCTCAAGGTCCAAGTGTGTGACCTCAGCAGGAGGCAGCTGCACAAAGGCCACCTGGACCAGGTCGGCTTTCTGGGCGCTCCAACTCGCCAGGTCGGCTCAGTTTTCCATGGGGCAGTCGACATGCCGGCCTTCGCAGCCAGGGAATCTGAGTGCAGCGCCGTCGCCAGCGCAGTCGCCGCACGACACGGCGTCCCGCATGTGCTTCGCGGCCAGCCAGGGGGACGACCCCCTCATCGCGAAGCTCCTGTCCACGGGTGTGTCGGTGAATCTCTCGGACTACGACCGCCGAACAGCGCTGCACGTCGCAGCAGCTGAGGGCAACCTGTCCACGGTCCAGCTGCTCCTCTCGGCCAACGCCGACGTCGCCGCGGCCGACCGGTGGGGCCACACGCCGATGGACGAGGCCGCGGCGAACAACCTCCACGACATCATGGCGGCCCTGCGCACCGCGGGTGGCGACCACGGGCTGACGCCGCGCGGCGGCGAGGACAAGGCGTCGCTGGGCGACCGGCTGGGGCAAGGGCCGGACAAGCGCCGTCCCTCGAACGACAGCACCGCGTCGCCGGACACTCCTGGCACCGTCGCGGCGGTGCCTGTGCGACGCGTGTCTGGCATGCAGCTGTGCTGCGCCGCGGCTGCGGGCAACGCCGAGATGCTCCGAAGCCTGATCGCCGACGGCGCCAACGTCAACGCCAAGGACTACGACGGCCGCATCGCTCTGCACGTCGCCGCCGCATACGGGCACCACGGCATCGTGCAGGACCTGCTGGGCCTGAGGGCTGATGTGAGGCACAGGGACCACTTCGGGAGCACCCCGCTCTCGTCCGCTGTGAGCCAGCAGCACGAAGAGGTTGCGGCCACACTGCTCAAGGCCTTGCAGCAAGGCCGTGCCGGCTCTGACGACAAGAAGGACCCCGTCGAGGGCATGTGCTCCAGCGCCCTGCCAGGGCAGGTCGAGGAGGTGTGCCCGCGGCAGGCCAATGGCTGCACGATGAACTGGATGATCCAGGAGAAGGAGGTCAAGTTCGGCCCCATGCTCAGCAAGACGCTCAAGAGTGCCATCCACACGGCGGAGTGGAGGGGCATGAAGGTGGTGGCGAAGACCCTGCTGAACGTGCAAGCGGATGACGGGGACCTCACCAAGGAGGTGCTGCGCGAGATCGGGATCCTCTCGACGCTGCGGCACCCCGACCTCGTGATGTTTCTCGGGGCGTGCATCTACAGCCCGCAGCCCTTTCTGATCTCCGAGTACATGGAGGGCGGGGACCTCGATCTTTACTACAGCATGAAGGCCTCCCAGCGGGGCTCCCCCTACAGGCCGCACATGAGCCTCTTCCTCAGGTGGTCGAGCGCGGTCGCGAGGGCCCTGTGCTTCCTCCACAACTGCTCCCCTCCGATCGTCCACAGGGACCTCAAGCCCATGAATCTGCTCCTCACCAAGAACAACGACCTGAAGGTGACAGACTTTGGTATCAGCAAGCTCATGAGGCCGAGCCTCGGGGACCGGGCCCCCCGGATGTCTGGCGGCGTGGGCACGTGGCGCTACATGGCGCCGGAGGTGGTGCGCTCGGAGCAGTACACCGACAGGGTCGACATCTATTCCTTCGCGCTCATCATGTGGTTCATGAGCACGGGGGTGCAGCCGTTCGTGGACCAGTTCGGGCAGGATCCGGCGCTCGTCCTCGAGGACTACCTCAAGGGCAGGGAGCCGCGCCCCAGTTTTGCCGGCGGTGCTGGCCTGCTGAGCGGCAACAGGACCACAGCCGCGGCGGTGCTCCCGGGAGGAGTAAAGTCGGGACCTTTGCCGGTTCTGGCCCAGGACGCTTCGGCGCGATACCGCGATACCCTGTTCACATCCCCATTCCCAAGCGTCAACGTGCCTGGCTGTTCCCAGCCTCCCGCTCCGCGGAGCGAAGCGACATGCTATCCAAAAGTTCCTCACTGTATACCGATACCGCTACCCTTCCTTCGTCGCCACGGCTGGGTTCGCCTCGACATTTTGGTCAGAACGCGCCCCGGGAGAGGTCCACGGGGTACCAGTACCCTGAGATCTAACGTCACGAGGAGTTGCAAAATCGAAACAAAACTCGACCCGAGACCTGGACCCCATCTTCCTGCTGCACTTTTCGAGCCTGAAGCGAGGGAACATATCGCCCGTTGTGGCAGAATTGCGTCGTCAGGACCTGAGGGTATTTTTCCCCCAGGTGCGGCAGCTGGTGCAGGAGGCAGGAGGAGGCGGAGAAGGAGGAGAAGGAGGCATGGGGAGGAGGAGGAGGAGGAGGAGGAGGAGGAGGAGGAGGCAGAAGGAGGCGGAGGCATGAGGAGGAGGAGGAGGAGGAGGAGGAGGAGGAGGAGGAGGAGGAGGAGGAGGTGGTGGTGGTGGTGGTGGTGAAGCATCAACTGGTCCTGAATCCTGCTCGACGGATCAGCGGCGACCGATGGGCGGCGTGGGATCACTGTGTCCCCGCCGATGTCAAACAATCGCCATCCCCCGTGGCTCCCTCTCCAGGACGCATGGCTGGAGTGGACGGGTCGAAATCAGACAACAAACACGAACTCAAGGCAGAGCTAAGGTGGCACATACGAGGAGGAGGCACAGAAGAAGGAAGGCCGAGAGGAGGGAGGACAAGAGGGACGAAGGAGGGTAGGCGCCACCGAAACTCATTCAGGCTAAAGAACTGCACGAAGCATTCGGGCACGTAATTGGCACGAAACCTCAAAAAAGCACTGGCGAGCAGAACTGAATTGGCCGGCCGGGTTAACGTCACCACATTCAGGGGGAAGGGGAAGAGGAGAGGGACGAGGACGGAGGCGGAGGGGGGAAGAAGAGGAGGAAGGGCAAACAAAGTAACGTGGTCATCGCCCGACTGCCTGTCAGTCAGGGCGCCCGCATGACCTGGCTGCGCGACCAACCACTAGGGAACCAACGCCAGGGCCCTATCCCCTGCGTCGTCTTCCTCGCTTCTGGACGGGCTGTTCAGGAGGCTCCCAAGTTCCCCGAAACCTCACGCGCCCGCGCTCGAGCACAGTCTGGCCTACAGCAATACGACTCACAACATTGCTAGCTGCACCCGGCGTGCTCACATCCCTCTCACTCTGCCCACTACTCATGACTTGCGATGCCTGGAGCTGCGGAGGAGCCGCTCCAGACTGCCCTGCACCTTCCTCTCCTGCGTCGTCCTGGGGGGCGGTCCTATTTTGGCCTGGCTGCCCATCTTGACGAAGAGCGCCGTGATGACGCCATTGATCGGCACCATGAAGGTGCCGCCCCCCAGCGTCGTCCACGCGTTGACGAAGTAGGTGTGGCGCACCATGCGGCTCTTGATGGCCACCTCCTTCTCCGCCCATACCTCCTTGACCTTCCAATATTTGAGATACTCTGCTGCCGTCACCATCGGCAGCGTCCTGATCGTATTCACGAACTCGGTGAGGGCCTTCAGCTCCTTCTGAACGTCTTGCTGCTGCTGAAGCCAGGCGTTGCCTACCAGCGCCTCGAGCATCGTCATGCACAAGACGAGGCCTGGATGACCCTGACCGTGATCCGCTGGCTTGGCCTTGACTGCGTCCATGTACTGCTCTATCGTCGTGATCGCCACCGCGTTCAGCTCGTTCTCCTGAGGAAGAAGCTGCGTCGATAAGAGACAGCCCTCCAGCGCTCTGTTGCGCTGAGCCGTGTTGAGCTGGAGTTTGATCAGGTCCGTCGCCGTCTCTCCATCGGACTCGTCGGTGTCCGCGGCCATCATCGCAGCACCGGCGTCGCCTCCCTGTCGCCCCTTCTTCTGGGGCGGGGGGCGCTCGCCGTTGGAGCCACCACCGAAGGAGATCTTGGGAGAGTCCGTCGCCAGCCGCTTCTTGGCCTCCGCTAGCTTGCCCTGGTCGATTGCCAGCGCCCACAACGACATCAGCAGTGAAGACGAACTGAGCTGTACTCGGCAGTTCAATGTGTGTTCTGATATGCCTCTGGAGTTGCTCGAGAGAAATGTGTTCCAGACCGCAGGCCGGGCAGGCTAGCGATAAGGGCTGGACTACCTCATGCTGCACAGGGCTGCGATCACAATGGCACGCATGATTGAGGAATAGCCGCCGAACATGCTGCTGGGATATAGCGCGCGTGGCATGCACACTCATGCACCAAGGGCATTGGTTAGTTATTGTAAGTAGCTGGCTTAATGCACGATGACCATGGCTGCCTTCTCGGGTGAAGCGCATGTGCGCGTACCACGCAGTTTGTGAGTCAAACGTGAGTCCACATACTGCCCCACTACTAGTAGTTTCATTACATACCCAGACAGGTGCAGGTGGCGGTTCAGGTAGCTGCTCATCTTGTACATCCCTAGGTTCGTGTAGTGCTCGGCCTCTCGCATCAATAACTCCCTCCCAAAAACGCTGACGTAGTTTAGCGACATTAAGTTTCAGGAACTTCGCGCTGAACTGCGGGGTGAACACCTTGAAACTCTTGCCCTCCATCTCATCTAACAGCTCTTTGCCTTTTTCGAGGTGAACAATCGAACTAATGTCATTCGCCGCCTGCAGAGCCCAGGGGTTCCCTTGGAACTTACCATCGGAGTCACGATGAAGCTGCCAATCAGTTACTGTCGGGGTCTGCTCATCTGGAAGTTGCCCAAACATTGCCGCCACAAGTTGCTGATTTTCTTGCCGATGTTGCGTGATTTGCTGCAGCCAAGTTAACCGTCTTATTCGTAATTCCAGTTGAGATGGAATCAAGCCCAGCCCCCCCCACACCTGTCGTGTTTGCAACGCCGTGTATTTAATGCCCCCATCAGGCCGAGCTTGTTTCAGCGTAGCGTCCCCCTTAAGAAGCTTCCTCCCCCACATCAGCAACAACCCATCAATCATGTCATAGTCACTCGCCAAGGGAATGAAAGCTTCCATGCCACTCAAAGCCGCACCCTGGACCCTCGCCTGGAACACAATCAGTAAGATATGCCGAGGAATTCGAGGACGATACCAAAAGTTGCCCATGGAGTACCAGGCCCTATACATATGCTTCTTGATTGCAAGCCTCTGTTGTGATGTAGTTGAATTATGATGAAAGTGAATGCCAAGATATGGTGCATGCTGACAAACCTGGCCGGCTACATCACGCGTATATTGTGCAGATGTGAAGCGTCTCGACTGCGTGTGGGCTCCAACTCCAACAAATCGAGGAACGACATTTTGCTTGCTGGTATTCTGTGCACCCCCTACTGTATACAGGCACTCATCTAAGTCCTGGCTCGCGCCATTCACAGCCTTGACCATTCCATCCGCTGTTCGAGACACGCACTTGTGAGCTATATCATCCATGAATACCGTCGTGCTGATGTCAACCTGTGCTTCTGGGTCTTCTCCGAGGGGGTCTGAACACATGAGGTGCTGACCGTCAACTTTGGCATGCTGGAGGTCAATCCACGGGGCGAGTACACATCTATCGAACGTGCGCGTGTATTTAGTGGGTGCTGCTTGATGGCCTTGCAGAACTCCTTCTCCCACCCGAAAATGTCCCTCCCCATCCACGCACTCCAATGATATGATACTATTGTGATTGCATGCGTGCCCAAGAAAAATATCCCTTGGATCAAGATGTAGATAGTCTGTGTCATCACAGGCGGTAGCCGCTATACTGCCAAACGCGTTGGCCTGGTCATAGAATATGGTGCAATGTGACTTCCTCAGCTGTGTCAATCGCCAACTGGATATAAGTTGTATGCGGATTGCCGACTCTCTCCTACGATGCCGAAGGCCTCCGTGCAGATACGGGGGGTACAGTTTATCCGAATAACAGATCTCACCGCGACGACCAACATGCTTGGAGAACGCCTTACTGAACGGGCAGGTGCGATGTACGAGTCGCAATGCCTTCATTCCCGTTTTGTCCGTCGGCTTGGGGAGACAGCAACCTGACGACCTCAACCAATCCAGGGGTACTTTACAGCTGCCCCTGACGTCCCACAAGATCCCCCTCACACGTCTGTCAAACCAACTCATGGAAGGGATATCCGCACTAAAAGCCTGCTGCTGATCACGGTACTTGCGATCTCGACGGGTGGGGTGGAGCAGCATCCGAAAGATCTCGAGGGGGAGGCTCCAGCTTGGCACCGTTTTGCGATACTTCATACTAAGCAGAGCGGCGCGGACTCCAGAGAGATCACACAGAGCCTCGTCCTTAAAGCCAGGCTCATACATGTCGTAACCCAGGCCCTCCTCATGTCGATCAGGTGGTAAGTTGGCCACTTCGACCATCTCACACGATTGGCCACCCTCTCGTCCCGGCTGTGCAAGATGCTCGCGCCATATCTCACGTGTGGGCCTATACGACAAATGTGTGTTGTAGAACCTTTTCCCAGGACCCACCGATGTGCATGCTATGCGCCGTGTGAGCCTATGTGCATAACTCCACTGCTGCTGCTGTAGGGCTTCTCGAAGCTGCTCAGCTAGATCCTCCATCCTCAGCTCTTGTTTCATCTTCCTCTGGTTCCTGACCTGCCGAGTGATCCTAAAAAGCTGTTGCTGCGTGCTGGTGAGCTCCTGCTGCTGCTCCTCAGTGAGTGTGCCGATGTATTGCCGAAGACGTGCGCGCTCACGCAAAAGATCTTGCTGTGCTTGCCGTGCCTGGGCATAAGCGCTATCATGTTCGTGAACGTGCTGAGCAAAGTACCCAAGAGCTAATGGTCGAATCGCAGATATGAGTGCCTCCCAAGCTTGATCAGGCGTAGCCTTACCCTCAAGTGCTTTCCATTGGGGATAAGTATTGTAGCACATGTCCTCCACCTCTTTCAAGAACCGCCCCCGCCAGAGCCCCTTCACCACTCCTTCCACCATCCTGTCCATGTCCCACCTCTCCTCCTTCTTCCTCCTCTGCGAATGCGGGAATGAAAGGATGTAGTCTACCTGTACAAGAAGCGGGTAGTGGTCCCATCGCTGACGAATCGGAACAAGTTGAAGTGCCCGACCCTGTTTTTCTAGAATACGGCATTTGCGAACATGAGACAACCAAGAATAGGGAGCGCCAAAATAATCTATTCTGCTTTGAGACTGCCGTCCATAGAAGGTCGCCTGTCCACCTATATACGTATTGACGAGACAGAGGCCGAAGTCTTCCATGTAGCCACGGAGTTTGTGCATGCAGTAGTGTTCCTGTGCAGGGTTAAGCGGGCCTATCGGGTTCATAGCGTCAACTACATGATCGGGAGGAGGGATGCCTGAATGATCATTTACATCTCCACCGAAGATAATTGAGCACCTACTGGGTTGCTCGCAGCTGATCTTGCGCATCCATTCGATCATGGCGTCCACCGTCTTATTATATACTAGATTGCGTCGCGCAGTCGAAGGTCGCGGTGGAAAGTAGACTACGAAGCACAATAAATGGAAGCGTCCCGAGCGCAACAAGACCGCCCCCAGTCTGCCTTGTAAGGCCGCAGGTGGCGAATACACTGCTAGAATATGGGAAACACGAAGAGATCTTTTGCGCAACCTAATCTGCACTCCTGCATGCGCTGTCGTGAACGGGGACCGGCCGTAACCCCAATTGAGGATGTGGTGCGTGCGGTCCATGATACTCGTGCATGTGTCGTCCGTGTATCTGCGTCTCAGCCTGGTGCCCACGATGAATTGTATGTCCTTCGTGTCGTACGCTGCACTGACATCATCCGCCCTACCGTGTTGCACGAGCGAGCACACATTGTGTACAACAAAGCTCCATGCCATGTGGGATAGTGGGGGGGATGGCAGAGAGAACAGGGGACGGGAAGAGTGCGCAGGCGGCGAGCCCGCAAGATGGGGTCATTCGGTACGGAGAATGGACGGTACCTCAGCCAGGGTACCTAGGAGGAGGAGGAGGAGGAGGAGGAGGAGGAGGAGGAGAAGGCGGAGGAGGAGGCAACAGGAGAAGGAGGAGGCAGGAGGGTGCAGGAGGAGGGATCAAGAGGAGATCCTCAGGCAAGCCAAACCGAGTCGCATCTGGGATCCCCTGACCTGAGATCCGACGTCGCCCCAAAAATGCAGCAACGGAGAAAGATCAAGACCGTACCCCTGGACCGCATCTTTCTGCGCCACTTTTCAAGCCGGATCGATCCGTGAGGGTCCCGGGCTCCGACATCGAGCGAACATGCCCGGCTCGAGGAATTCCGTCGGAGGAATTTGCCCCCCCCCAGGTGCGGCAGCTGGTGCAGGACTCGAGCAGGGGATCGTCTACAGAGTTGATTTACCCCAGACTTGATTTCCTCGTCGGGCTACACGTCGAACGTGCGACGATCTTCGAACGTGCGCCGAACGAGTCCATGTTGCAGTAAAAAGCACTCCTGGAGTCGACCCCCTGCTCGAAGGAGTGCTGGCACAGGCGCGCGGCGGCGCGGCCCTCGGCGCACCAGTGCACCGCGCGCCTCGCGGAGGCCACCGTGCACTCCGACCACGGCTCCTGGGCGGCGCGCGCCGGGAAGGTCGTGGGCAGGCTGCGGTAGGCGCCTCCTCCGGGGGGCTGGGTGGTCACCGCCCACCAAACCACCCCAACCCGACCCGAAGGCCACGATTTGCCCTCCATTTCCAGTGGGGGGGGGGGTCGGGGAACCTCGCAAAGACACGCGGAACCCGTACCCCCCCCCCCAACCTGAACTTCGGGTCAAATTCGGGTCTTCGGGTTGGGTTGGGGTGGTTTGGTAGGTGGTCAGGTGGTGAATCGTGGGAGCCTGGTGTACCCTCAGGTCGGGCGTGTCCCCCCACAGGCGGATATTTGTGACGACAAATGAAAAAGATGCAAAGACTATTCGAAGCATGCCTAAACATGCCCCCAGAAAGGCCCCTGACGATTTTTGGACTATTTGGGAATCTTCCTCCTGTAGAGGGACAGGCCCGACTTGAAGTGTGCCCTCTTCATTCCATCTTCAGCGTCGATTGGCGTCCATTGGCGTCTGGAGTCGATGCGATAGCGCCGATTCGGCGTCGGCCAGCGTCGACTCAGCGTCGATTCGCGTCGATTCGGCGTCGATGAGCGTCGATGTGCAAGAGGCGGCAAGATGGTATGGGAGGCTCCCATGAGTTTCCACCGAGCAGAAAGAAATACGGGGACCATGACCAAATGTCGCGGGATCTTGCCGGATCTTGCCAGTGCCGACCTTGGTCCTGATCCATGCCGGCTGTCGCCCATTCGCGAGGAGGATCCACGAACCGACGGTGACCAAGATCGACGGTGACCAAGATCGGCACGACGTTTCCGCGTGCAGTCGTGGTCATGGTCCCCGCTTTGATGGGCAGATTTTCCACCACCACTACCATATGTGGGAGAGTGAGGTTTAGGAGGAGGAGGAGGAGAAGGAGGAGGAGGAGAAGGGGAAGGACCTCCCCATCCTCCCCTCTCCCCGTCCTACCTGTGGTAGTGGTCGTGGTAAATTGGCCCATCACGCTTTCTTCCACTCCAGCCAGAGGCGTCGCCCGTCGTTCCCTCTCGCAGGAGGGCCTGGGGGTGGTGCAGCAGGACTGCCAGGCGGAGCGGTTCCCACGTATCCGCAATCTGAATGGATTTTGAACATTGGGCTTCAACAGCCGTGTATACTTCGGTGGTGGCTCCAGGACATTGCGTACGTCGTCGGCGACCCCGCATTTTATTATATTATAAGTTTTTAATCCGTGCGCGGACAGGGGGTAAAGGGTGAGGATTCCCAGCGCCGCCCTGGCTTCATGGTTCACGGGACCGTAGATTCAGCACATTGCGACGCGCGTGTACATGTTGTTTTTGTGTACCTTTTGGATCTGCGGCGCTTCTTCACTTGGCATTACAGTGCGCTTGCGACGAGCTCGGGGAGGCTCATCTCGGGCGTGCCTGGGTGCAGACGCTAGTGCCTGCCCAGGTTAAGATACCGCAGTGGAGCTGCTCATCTTGGAGGGCGCAGGATGACGGGCAGACCAGCTATACGCGTTGGGTCAACGCCTTTTTTCTCTCCGCGGATTGGTGCACATATTTGGGGCGCAGCGCGCTTTTCGTCGCAGCACCTTCGAAGTCTGCTGAGTGGGCTTCAAGGTTCGTGTATGATGTTGCAAGTTTTGTGAACCTTCCCGTCTTGCACCCTGTGCATTGAAGTGTGCCGTGGACACAGCGGGGACTCAGTGCAAGAGGCAAACCAAGTACGCTCAAAGCGCTCTTGCAGTTGCACTCGCAGTTCAACCGATCTTGATATTGTGGTCGCTCACAGGGCACCCCTCAACGCCCAGCACCCAGTCAGCGCATGGCAGAAGGACGCGGACCGCAGGACTCACGCAGCGCGGTTTTGTGACCAGTCGCACTGGTAGTAAGGGCGTCTCACGAGGTCTAACTACTTCCCAACGCGGCGCTTGCCAGATCTTTGCCTTCTCTTTTCTTCCCACATCGTCTTGCGCTCGTTTTCCTGCTTCGCAGTCGTGATGCGCCATTTTCCTGCTTCACAGTCGTGATGCGCTTCTCTTGCAGGTAGATGGCCGCGTCTGCCTTCACCTTGTGATCGGCTCCCGAGTGGGCCCAGGTCGACTCGCCGGCAGCACTGCCAGTTCGCGCGACCTCTGGCGGATCTTGCACTGACGCCAGGCACGTAGAAGTGTTTGCGAAGCCGCAGAAGAACAGTTAACGTTTACCCAAGACGGCCCCAGAGAGTTCCAAGACGGCCCAGGATGGCCCCGAGAGTCCCCCCGCACGCTCTCCAAATCGTGACCCTGGTCGTTTGGGCCAGCCGTGGCTGGCAGCAGAGAGGCCCAAGGGGCCCCAAGAAGGCTTCGAGAGGCGGCCACGCGCAGAGGGGGTATGGGGGAGGGGGGGAAGGCTTCTCCTAGAAGCACCCCTGCTTCTTAGAAGACGCGGGCATTGTCTGCAGGAATAAGGCCTGCGCGTTCGACGAAGCAGCCTCCTTCTGAGAACCAGAGCGTGAATTACCTACCCCGCTTTCGCTTCCAGGCAAAACCAAGTCATACCACGCGCCTCCTCGTCAAGCGACCTGACCAGTACAGGCCGTAGTTTGGTATCGTTTGGTATCTCTTGGAAGCGAGGGTGGTCAAAAGCGAGGTAGGTTTGTATTCCCCCTAAAGAACCTCCCCCCCTCCCCCTAACCCCCCTCTTGCGCGCCGCCGCAGAGGCCTCCAGGAAGCACGCAATGGGGCCTTCGAGAGACGAGTCCTCTTCAAGAGGCCCCCCAGAAGCCTCCTCAGCCAGATATAGGCCTCCTCCTCCTCCTCCTCCTCCTCCTGCATCAAAAAGGCAGCCAACCAGTCCCGAACGGCATCCCGGCGCCCTCCCCGCGCGGCCAGGCTGGCGATGAGGTGTGCCGTCGCGCGGCAGGTGTGGGGGGGTGTACCGCCTCTCCCTTCTCCGAAAGGGGATGGACGTGGCCCGAAACTCCACCGCCGCTACGCTCAAAACCTTGACGTGATAAGGTCCTGTTTGGCCGGAGGGGCTCGGTGTTCCGCGTGTGCTTCCGGGGGTCTTCCCTCAGCGACTCTGGGGCGCCTTGGCACTTCTGGGGCCAACGAAGACCTCGTTCCTGACACGAAGTTCCTCGTGGGTCATCTTGCATGCCTCGGCGGCGAACGTCATGTGTGCGTCTGCCCTCACACCTTGGAATGCTCTCGGTCATTGGTATCTCCATGGGGCCCGAGGAGGAGGAGGAGGAGGAGGAGGAGGAGGAGGAGGAGGAGGAGGAGGAGGGCGAGGAGGAGGAGGAGGAGGAGGAGGAGGAGGAGGAGGAGGAGGATGGGCCCCTGGCGAAGGCCCGTGCTGTTGACCACAGCTCGCGTGGCTGTGTCCCGACCGCGGGAGACAGATGGGCCAGCCGGGCCCCGACGGCAAATGACCATCCGCGCGCTCTCCGAGATCTCGGAGGCCTTCCGCCCCCCTGCCCATCCTTCAAAGGGCCCAGCGCGGGTCCCTCCTCCTCCTCCTCCTCCTCCTCCTCCTCCTCGTCCTCCTCGTCCTCCTCGTCGTCCTCCTCCCCCTCCTCCTCGCCCTCCCCCTCCCGTCCTCGTCGTCGTCCTCCTCCTCCTCCTCGTCTTCCTCCTCCTCCTCTCCTCCTCCTCTCCTCCTCGCCCTCCTCCTCCTCCTCCTCCTCGTCGTCCTCCTCCCCCTCCTCCTCGCCCATCTCCTCGTCGTCCTCCTCGTCGTCGTCGTCGTCTCCTCCTCCTGGGCCCCCTTCTCCTCTTCCTCCTCCTCCTCCTCCTCCTCCTCCTCGTCCTCCTCCTCCTCCCCCTCCTCCTCGTCGTCCTCCTCCTCCTCCTCCTTCTCGCCCTCCTCCTCGTCGTCCTCCTTCTCTTCCTCGTCCTCGTCCTCCTCCTCCTCCTCTTCCTCGTCCTCCTCCTCCTCCTCCTCCTCCTTCTCGTCCTCCTCCTCGTCCTCCTCCTCCTCCTCGCCCTCCTCCTCGTCCTCCTCCTCCCTCAAGCAACTGGGGCCCGAATTTTTTGGGCCTGCCTCTGTGCCGTCCCGAGGCGCTTGAGGTTCCGTCTCCCAGCGGGAGACGACTAAATCAGAGGCAATCTCCCGCATCCCTCGGCGCCCTCAGCCATGGCGCCGCCACATCGTCGCGGAGGCTGGTCTGCTGTGGGCCCTCCTCCTTGGCGAGATTCTGATGCGAATGGCTACTGGAAGTGCTGCGCCTGTGGCTGCGGCAAGAACCTGGCCCGCTACTGGTTCTGCAAGCAGTGCCACGGCAAGCGCAAGGAGGTGGAGGCAGCGGCGCCCCCGGCGCCCAGTGGAGCCTGGGCAGCCCCCTGGGTCGACTGGGACAAGTGGGCTGCCAACGGGGCCACGTCGACGGCCCTGCCTGTCGGCCTCCAGGGAGGCACCAGCCCCCCGCCTGTGGCAGGCGACGAGGACAAGCTGTCCGAGGAGGAGCTGCTGCAGTTCATCTCCCTCCACAAGAAGATGGGCAACTCGTCCGCCGCCACGGCCCTCCAGCATCGGCTCGACAAGCGCAAGGTCGGCGATGCTCCTGTGCCGCTGCAGGCTCAGGCGTACCAGGTCGACCGACACATCAAGCAGCTCGAGAAGAAGCTTCAGCATGACCTGGACCAGTACGCTAAGTGGCAGAACTGGCTCCAGGACAAGAAGGAATCCATCGGTTCTCTTCGTCGTGAGCTGGCCGCTGAGGTTGGCAAGTACCAGTCTTTGGTGGAGCAGCTGCGATCTCAGGTTTGTCCTCCACCAGCGGCCCAGCCGAAGGCTCGAGTGTCCCTCCAGGACCTGCTGTCGGGTGAGTGCGACTTTCTGGATATGTCCAACATGGAGGAGGTTTTTGGCATCGACAGCTCGGTGTATGAGGTGCAGGAGGCCGACGCCAAGGAGCTGGAGAAGCGCACGTCGCAGCTCAAGGAGGTCATCCAGGCATCGGCACGCCAGCTGTTCGGAGAGGCGAAGAAGAAGTTCGACGAGCTCAAGAAGGCCCATGCAGCCCACGTCGGCAAGCTGGGCAAGAAGCGTAAGGTCGGTGCTGAAGGAGCGGCTGCAGCAGCGGCTCCTGGAGACGTCGGCGGGGGCACCCAGCCTGAGGCGGCGCCGCCCTCGAGCGGAGCAGGCGATGGGTCCTCCTCTGCAGCGTCGTCGGGGGCGCCACCATCTGCGTCGGCCTCGGCTTCAGCTACGGATCTCCTCGGTGCTGCAGATCGACTTCTCGGTCCTCTGGCAGAAGGAGGCCCCCCTGCCAGCGCCTAGCTGGCAGGGGGGACATGACGCGCGTGCTGAAGGTAGCCCAGCGGCTGCCATTCCCTCATCCCCGCTGGAGCTCGACCAGGTTTCGAAATCAAGTTGGTCAAAATCGACTGGGAGTACCTGGTCATCGGCGGTGACTTCAGGGTCGACGGGTGAGGCCTTCCACCAGACGGGTGGGGCCAGCTCTGAGGCATCTGCTGTCGCATCCAGATTTTTTAGGTTGCCTCCAGGAGGCGGCTTACCTTCCGACCCCTCGAAGTTTTTATCTGTGCCCCCCTGCCCTGATTGCACGTTCCAGTTGTCGATTGAAACGGTGAACTGTACGAGTTGGTCTTCCATTGAGGCGTGGCTTGTAACCACGCCTGCAAACATCGTTCTCGTGCAAGAGCACCACATCGTATCGGACGACGACGTAGCCAAGGCAGGACAATGGGCGCTGAAGAGGGGTTGGAAATCTCGTTTCAATCCTGCTGTCAGAACCGCTGCAGGAGGCACCTCTGGAGGTGTCGCAATTTTGGTCCGCTCCTTCCTGGGCTTCCACGATCCCGAGTTCGGCCCGATCGTCGTCCCGTCCAGGGCTATGAGTGGAATCGTCCAGGTGCCAGGGGCCGTTACGGTTTTGGTCTCATCGGTTTACTTGTACGACAGCGAAGAACTTACAAGCAGAAATCTCGACATACTGGCGGCCGTCTCGGCCAGGCACTCGCTCTACGAGGGTCCTAATGTGATAGGCGGCGACTTCAATATGATTCCAGATGTCCTGGTTTCCTCGGGAGTCCCTGGGTATCTGAAGGCGAATGTTATATATCCTGATATTGGCACCTGTTCTAGTACTGGGGGTTTACGAGTCCTGGACTATTTTGTGCTATCGTCAGGTTTTACCCGTTGCATTCAGGAAGTCACCGCCGCCCTCGATAGCGACATCAAGACGCACACGCCCGTGCGCATTCTCTTCCACCCGCAGTTGGCTGAGCTCAAGGCCCTCACTTTCCTCCGACCGCCGAAGTTGCCTGCGGAGTGCCCGATTGGCCCCGCGCCGTGCACGGAGAATCACGCCCGCGTTTTGGACTGCGCCCGTGAAGGGCGAGAACTTATCCAGAGGCGCGAGTCCAGAGCAAAAACCCAGAAGCACCTCGACATTCTTTACCGAGTTTGGGCTGATGCTGCTGGGTGGGAGCTATCCAGGGTCCTTCAGACGGAGCTCATGATTTGGGGCTCCCGCGGACGTCGGCCTCGTTTGGCCTGGGTTTCGGCTCTGGATAAAGATTCGCGTCCCCCGACTCGGGATCCTGGTCTTGTTGCTGGCAGGTGGTTGTCCAGGACTACGAGATTCATTTTGGGGGCTTACGACTCTGGAGATTCTGGAGCGTTTAAGCGTTATAGGGCCCACTTTCTGGATCCCCCTCCTCATGTTCAACGTGCTTGGGAAGGGTTTCAAGAAGATTATCGCCTTGGGTGCGAACTCCTCCATGGTTTTCAGGATGTTTGTGAAGACGGGTTACGTATTCGAGAGTTTCACGCTCAACTTGAACCTGGATTAGCAGAGTATGCTAAGTCTTCCTCACAGCGTTCGTTAAAAGAGTGGCGTAGCTGGCTTTTGGACGGTGTCGACAAAGGGGGAAAGAGCGCCCACCGCTGGACTCGCGAGCTGAAGCCCTGGGTTGCCACGACCACGCTGTCGGCCGACGGGCTGGTTCTCTCGGACCCCATGTCCCTCCTGAAGTCGGAAGGGGAGCGTTTCGGGGCTCTCTTGGAGTCGGCCTCGCACCCGCCCGAGGATCAGGAGCCCCTCGAGTTCTTGGAGCCTTTGGAAGTTCTCTCGGCGGACGACCTGATAGCTGTGAGTAAGACTTATGCTTTAGGCACGGCTTACAGCTTCGATGGGTTTCACATGAGGCATTTCGCCCTTATGCATCCCGACTTGCTGGCTGCCGTCAGCACCATGTTTTCGATGATGGAGGCCGCCAGTCTGTTGCCCCACCCTGCCCAGGTGCTGCTCGCGTCATTGCTTCCGAAGCCAGCAGGAGGCTATCGCCCGATAGGGCTTTTTTTTCGGCACTCTACAGGCTGCGGGCTCGCGCTCGGTGCCCCTACGCAGAGCGGTGGGAAGCCGAACATCAGCGTCTTTATTTGGCATCTGGTTCGTTCAATTCTGCCTCGGATGTGGTGTATCGTCAGGAAGTTAAGAGCGAACATATCGTCGGTCGGGGGATGAGCTGCTGTAAAGTCTTATGGGACCTATATAAGTTCTACGAAACGATTCGGCTTCCAAAGCTCCTCGGCCGTTGCCAGTTGCTCGATTTCCCGATGCAGATTGCCAGAGTATCCTATAGGGCTTATCGTGGGGCTCGTTTTATATCCTTAGGAGGTCTTCTTCATGGGCCTCACTTTGCCACGCATGGGGTGGTTGCTGGGTGTAGCATTGCGACTACGTACGTCAGGGTTTACATCATCCCTACTGTGGATCTCGTCAGGCTCCCCAAGCAGGTCTCCTTAGACATTTATATCGACGACTATGGGCTGTCGAGTTCGGGGACTTCGAAATCGGTCGCGTCGTCTTTGAAACGGGCCTCGGTGGACCTCCTGGTGGCCCTGGAGACCGATATGGAGGCTACCATTTCTACCGATAAGGCGGCATTAGTTGCTTCGCACGCCGATGTAGGCCAGGAGATGAAGGTGTTTCTTGGAGCGTACGGCGGCCCCTCGGCGGACGCCAGCTCTGCCATCAACCTTGGGGTCGACGACGGTGCTGGCAAGGCCCGGCGCACCAAAGGACGGGGTAGGAAGGTTCAGGCTAGACAGGCTCAGTTTAGAGCACGCTGCAGACGGGTGCGGAAAGCTCGTCAAGCTCTTGGCCGACACACCCGCAGGATTTTTGTTTCAGGGCCGCTGGCATCAGTTACTTATGGTTCTGAGGTTTACGGAGTTTCTGATTATGAATTGGGAATGTTACGTTCTGGTTTTGGGAAGTCTGTCAAATCTTCGGCTGGGTCCAGGTCCCTTACTTCGTTGTGTATTCTGAGAGGGGACCCAGTTTACCATGCTGCTATTTCTCCGATTGCCAGGTATTCCAGGGAATTGTGGGACGCCCAGGTTCAGCAGACTCCCTTTGCTCTAGGCTTCGCGGGGCTACGCGACGCCTGGGCCCAGACGTGGGCCAACCCGCCAGCTGCGTGGCGGCAGGTGCGGGGCCCCATAGGTGCTATGTTTCTGTCCCTCAAGCGCATTGGCTGGAGCATGCCCAGCTACGCGCAGATGACGAACGGCCTTGGCGCCACCTTCTCTCTCACGACCTCCTCCCTCAGATTGATCAAGAACCTTCTGCGGGAAGCTGTCATTCGTCAACTGTGCAGGCTGTCAGGCGAGAAGCTCGGTGTTGGTGCCAGGCTATGTTGCGATTCTGTGATTCGCGACCTCAGCAGCTCGAAATTCACGCCGTTCGAGAAAGGTTCGATCAGAGCCAATGTCTGCGGGGCCTGCTGGACCAAGGAGCGTGCAACCCAGTGTGGGTATCAACTCCAGGACACGTGCTGCGCTTTGTGCGGCGGGCCCTCGGACTCGATTTTCCAGAGGCTTTGGGTGTGTCCTTATCCTGAGGCCGCGGAGCTCAGACAGGAGTTTGTAGATCCCGATGTTTTGCAGGCGGCCAATGAGATCGATCCTGCTTCGTGTTCCATGGAGGATTGGATTTTGTTCACCAAGGGCCTCTTCCCACATCCTGGGGACCTTCACCCCCGTCCTGTTCCTGAATGTGCTCCAGAGTTTCGATGGGAGGTTGATCAAGAACATGAAGATGAGCAACTGTTTTCTGGTTCCTATGTTTTCATGGATGGTTCTTGTCAGAAGCACGTAGTGAAAGAATTAAGCAGGGCAGGGTGGGGCATAGCGGTTTTCGATTCCCAGCAAGTTTTGAAGCTCAGAGCTTGGTCCCCTTTGTGGGATCGGTTTCCTCAGACCCCTCAGGCGGCCGAGTTCGGGGCTCTTGCGTACTCTAGTCTTTGCCTCACCGACCCTGCTCCAGGGTACACAGACGGTCTGAATGTTTGTAGGGCCTTCCAGTTCGACCGTTCTAAGAAGCTGTCGTACAAGAGGCCCTACTCGGGCCTCATGATTAATGTTCTGGGGACCCGTTTTTCCGATTTGCGCAAGGTGAAGGCCCATGTGGCCGAGTCGGACGATCTTTCCCCCGAAGAGCGTTTCTTTAAAATCGGGAATGATGAGGCTGATAGATCAGCCAAGCTTGGGGCCGCTGCTCACCCCAGGTGTTCTAATGAGCAGCAGACAAAGTTGGACTGGCAGCTCAAGGTGTCGCGCACAGTCTCGCGCCTTGCTGCCAAAATTCTTGTTTCTTGGCCCCGTCTGGACCTCTCGGACGTTCCCTTCATTGCTCCTCCTCGTCCTCACCGCCTTGGGGCGGAGGTGCCCGAGGGAGAACATGTCTGGGCCTGGGTCAAGTCTTTTTGGAGGTGCAATCGTTGTCTCAGATTTCGCAGGCAAGCTGCGCGCCCCTCGATCGAGGGATGCGGAGGAGACCTGCCTTTTGTAGCCCGTTCGGTCATTGAACGGGGTCATTCGTGTCTGGCGCTCGAATGCTCGAACGATCAGATCTTAATTATATGCACCCGCTGCAAAGCGTTTTCGACCCTCGGACAGTTTAAGCAGCTCCGCCATGAGTGCACCCGCCCACTCGCCAAGGCAGCGGAGTATTGGTCCAGGGTCAAGCGCGGCTGGCACCCGAAGGAAAGAATTCGGGTGGAGTCAATCCCCATCAGGGAATAAGGCTGGTGGCTGGCAGGGCGCTCGTCAAAAACTCGTCCTCCTCCTCCCCCTGCTCCTCGTCTGGAGGAGTATTCAAATTCTACCCACCATGTCTTCAAATTCCTCACCGCTGTGTTCATCATCTTGTTATGCCATGTGTTTGTTTTCCCATCTCTTCCTTTATACTCACGCTGCCTGTTCAGCCACTCTGAGCCTGGGCGGGCCCACCTGCATTCCCATTTCTCTTTGCCAATCTTTTTCTCACGCTTGCTGGCAGCTGCGCTGAGGCCGCATCGCCTAAGTCGGTCGTCTCATGTTGCACCATCCAGTGGTTCCCGGGCCCCCCCAGGGGGGCCCAGGAGGCTCCCAGAGGCATAGAAGGCGCACGAACACCCAGATCCCTGATCTCGACCTCATGACTTGTTCCAATCCGCGGGCCAGTTTTGAGGGCCCTCCTGAGGGGCAGTGGATTGACAGTTTTGATTCGGTGGGGGGGAGACAGACCCCCCAAAACAAAAATTGTGTCAATCCGCGGGTCCAGGAGCCCTCGACCCCTTCCACCGAGGATCATTTTCGTGTCAAGTTTTGATGGCCCCGAGGTCCAGACGGGTCCCAGGGGCTGGGCACGGCGAAACGTTCCCGTTTTTTTACATGTTTTTTATGTTTTTTTTTATTTCTTTCTAATTTTGGTCAAGGCGTCTGAGGTCTGGGATGGCGGGGTCGGGTCTCGCTTCCGCGCGTGTCCCGTTTCGGTGCGTCCTGCCCAGCGTTTTTCCGAGGCGGCCCTGGCCGTGGCGACGCGAGGCCTCCTGGAGGCCCACAGCGGTCGCCGCCGCCGTCGCCGTCGCCGCCGCCGTCGTCGCCGCCGCCGTCGTCGCCGTCGTCGCCGTCGTCGCCGTCGTCGCCGTCGCCGTCGTCGCCGTCGTCGCCGTCGTCGCCGTCGATGCTCGCTGCCGGCGCGGCGCGCGCGCCGAGGCGCTGCCCCCCGAGGCCGCCGGCCGCGTGGGCTGGCTCAGCGGCGGGCCGTACGTGCTGCCAGGCCTGGGGCTGGCGGTCGCAGGCGCGCCTCGGCGCCGCCTATCCTCAGCGGGCCTCGTCGCCGTCGCTGCGGCTGCTGCCGCGGGGGGCGCCCCGAGGGCCCCTCGCCGGGGGGGGGGGCCTCGGGGCTCCCGAGGGGTCCCCGAGGGGCCTCGGGAGCCTTCGGCGAGGGCTCTGGGAGCTCGGCCGGCCCGCGCAGTCCCGCAGATGGGCCCCGTTTCCAGCAGAGGGGCCCCGTCGGAGCCCGAGGCCCCGAGGCCCCTCGCGGGGCCGCCAGGGACACCTGAACCCGCCGGGCCACGGGTGTCCCTGGCGCCCCCCGGTGTGCCACGGTGCCCCTGTAGGCACGGGTGCACACGGAGAGGTGTGCATCGGGGTGTCATCGGGTGCTGCCAGGGGTGTCCCTGGCCCAGGGCGTCTCCAGGAGTTCCAGGGGGTCGGCGTCTCCAAGATGGAGCGAGAAGTTGGGGACACCTTGGGCCATGGCCACTTCTGGCAGCATCCGATCGCTGACGTCGCTGACGTCTCTGACGTCGTCGTCATCGTCGTCGTCATCGTCGTCGTCGTCGAGGTGGAGGAGCAGCAATAGGAGGTGGATGAGGAGGTGGAGGGAGGGAGGGGAGGGATTGAGAGAGGAAGAAAGAGGAGAGATGACAAGGAGAAGAACGAGGCGGGGGATGAAGGATGGGAGAAGGTCGGAGGAAGGTAATGAGGAGGATGAGGAGGAGGAGGTGGAGAAAGTGGAGGAGGAGAAGGAGGCGGAGGAGGGTGTGGCGGAGGAAGAGGAGGAGAAGAAAGAGGGGAGAGGATGGAGGAGTGGGCTGAAGAGGAGGAGGAGGAGGGTCGTCGTCGTTTTCGTCGTCATCGATCACGACCACGACAAAGTCACGACGCCGACGACGGCGACGACGACGATGGCGGCGACGACGACGACCACGATATCGATGACGACGATCACGGTGACGACGACGACGATGCCGGTAACGATGACGACGACGATGACGATGACGGCAGAGACGACGACGACAACGACCACGACCACGGCCACGACCACGACCAATACGACGAAGACGACGACGATGCCGAGGACGCTGACGACGGTGACGACCACGACGACGACGGCGATGATGACGACGACGGTGACGACGACGATGACGACGACGATGACGACGACGACGACCACGACCACGACATGACCATGGCGACGACGACGACGGCGGCGGCGACGGCGACGACGTCGACGACGACGACGGTGACAACGATGACGACGACGGCGACGACGGTGACGATCACGACAACGCGACGACAACGACGACGACGGTAACGATCACGTCGACGACGACGGCGACGGTGACGATTACCACGACCACGACGACGACGACGACGACGGTGATGACGACGACGGCGTCGATGACGACGACGGCGATAGCGATCACGACGACGGCGACGTCGACAACGGTCACGATTACCACGACAACGATGACGACTTCGATGACGACAGTGGCGACGAAGACCGACTTCGACCACGACGACAACCACGACGATGGCCACGACGACGACGGTGACGGTGACGCTGACGACGACGATGACGACGACGGTGGCGACGACGACGACGACGACGACGGTTACGACGACCGCGACCACGACCAAAATCGCGACCACAACGACGACGACGATGACAACGGTGACGACGACGACGACGGCGGCGGCGACGGCGACGACGACGACCATGACTACGACCACGACTACGGCGACGACGCCGACGACGACGACGACGACCACGGTGACGATCACCACGACGACTGCGACGAGGATGACGACTTGAACGACGACGGTGCTGATCACGACGACGGCGACCACGGTGTCGCTCACCACTACGACCACGATCACGACGACGACGACGAAGACGGTGACGACGACGACGGCGGCAGCGACGACTACGACGTCCACGACCACGACCACGACGGCGACGGCGACCACGACCGCGACCACGACCACGACCACGACCACGACAACGACGACGACGAAGATGGCGACGACGGTGACGACGACGGTGACGACGACGGTGACGACGACGACCACGACGACGACGACGTCGACGACGACGACCGTGACAACGATGACGACGACGGCGGCGACGGTGACGATCACGACGGCGACAGCGACAACGACGACAACGGTAACGAGCACGTTGACGACGACGGCGACGGTAATGATCACGCCGACGACGACGGCGACGGTGACGATTACAACGACCACGACGACGACGACGACGGAGATGACGACGACGGCGTCGATGACGACGACCACAACAACGACCACGACCACGATCACGACCACGATCACGTTCACGACAACGACGACGACGAAGATGGCGACGACGGTGACGACGACGACGTCGACGACGACGACGACCACGACCACGACCACGACCGCGACCACGACCACGACCACGGCGACGGCGACCACGACCGCGACCACGACCACGACCACGACCACGACCACGACGAAGACGGCGACGACGATGATAACGACGGTGACGACCACGACGTCGACGACGACGACGACCACGACCACGACCACGACCACGACCACGGCGACGGCGACGGCAACCACGACAACGACGACGACAACGGCGGCGACGACGGTGACGATCACGACGACGACGACGTCGACGACGGTGACGATCACCACGACGACTGGTGTGACCGTCTTGGCGATGACGACGACAACGGTGACCATCACGACGACGATGACGACGACGGTGACGATCACGACGGCGACGACGACGACGACGACGACGGTGAGGATCTTCCCAACGAGGAGAACGACGACGACGACGTCGATGTTGACGGTGACGACGAAGGCGACGACGACGACGACGACGGCGACGGCGACGACGACGCCCACGAACACGACCACGACCACGACCACGACGACGACGATGACGTTGACGATGACGACGACGACGGTGACGACGACGGCGGTGACGACGACGGCGACGGCGACCACGACCACGACCACCACCACGACCGTGACCACGACTTTAACGACGTCGACGACCATGATGACGACGACGACGACGACGACGACGACGACGACGGTGACGACGGTGACGACGGTGACGATCAAGACGACTTCGACGACGACGTCGACGACCATGACAACAACGATGACGACGACGACGACGACGGTGAGTACGACGACCACGACGACGACGGCGAGGACGACGACGACAAGGCGGTGATGTCGGTGACGATCACGACGACGGCAACGACGACATCGACCACGACGACGACGACCACGACGGCGATCACGACCACGACCACGACCACGACCATGACCAAGATCACGAACAACGACGCCGACGATAACGACGACGACATTCACGACGACGACGCCGACGACGACGCCCACGACCACGACCGCGACGGCAACGACGGAAATCACGCCGACGACGACGGTGACGATTACCACGACGACGACGACCACGACGACGACGACGACGGTGAGATCGACGACAACGACGACCACGACGGCGACGACGACGACGGTGTCGACGACGTGGACGTCGACGACGGCGACGACGACGACGGCCACGACCACGACGACGACGACGATGCCGACGGTGACTATCACGAGGACGACTACGACGACGACAACGACGACTGTTGCGACGTTGGTGATGACCACGACGACGACGACGGTGACGATCATCTCGACGACGACCACGACGACGACGACGACGACGACGACGGTGACGACGACGACAACGACGTCGCGAAGGAGGAGCAGGAGCAGTTGGAGAAGGAGGAGGAGGAGGAGGAGGAGAAGGACGACGACGACGACGACGACGAGCGCGCCACCGAAGGCCGCACGCGGCCTGCCGCAGGCCGCCGACGGCCGCCGACGGCCGCCGTCCGCCAGCGGCCGTCGAGGGCCGCCCGCCCGCACGCCGGCCGAGCGGCAGCGGCGACGTCGCGAGGAACGCTCTGCGGGGTGGCCTGGCGACACCTGGAGGCGCCGCGCGGCCCGCCGCCGCCGCCGGCGGCTGCTGCGCCCCTTCCCGCCGCCGTTGTGTGTCGGCCGCCGGCCGCCCCGTCGTCGTCGCCGCCGCCGCCGCCGCCGCCGCCGCCGTCACCGTCGTCGTCGTCGCCGCCGCCGCCGCCGCCGCCGTCGTCGTCCTCGCCGTCGTCGTCGTCGTCGTCGTCTCTGGCCTTGCGGGGCGTTTCTGGCGGCTCTCGTCGCCACAGGTCGACGTAGCTTCAAAAACTTGCAAGAACGTGCCTTGGCAGGGGCCAAGGGACCGACTTTGAGCGGAGTTCGGGATCCCAAGGAGGAGGAGCAGGATGAGGAGTTACGTTGCGGTGATGAGGTGGCGACAAATTGCTAGATTCGGCGCACTTACAAAACTCAGATCAGGGACACCAGCGTGTCGTAGTCCACCAAGAGCGCGTCTGATGCCAAGCATTCGAAACACAAGACGTGGAACAGTGACCACTGACCAATAGCATGAACTCCCACAGGATGGCAGCAGCGCCATGAAGGTCGAACACTGATCGAACAACAACTCCGAGATGCTGAAGTGAGGAACGCCGCCCAGGTACAAGAGTAACTGTACCGCCCAGCCGCCACCCACATGTTGCCCACGGGGTCAACAGCCCACGGCAAGACAGCACCGCCCAAGTTCCACATCCCTCCTCGAAATCAAACGCAAGTTGTTCCCACGACATGGCGACTCCCCCGGGCCTTCAGTTGACCCCGCGGCCGCGCTGCGCGCGTCCATCAACATTGAAATTTTGGGGCGAGGGGGGCGGGTAAAACTTGCGTTTGATTTCGAGGAGGGCTGCAGTATCGAAGAGCTCCAACACCGCGCCACGAATAAGGAGAAGAAGAAGAAGCCAGGGCCTGGACCGCCTCCAAGCGGCAGTGCAAAATCCCACTGCCAGCAACACATAACCACCCTGGTCCCTGCCGACGGGCAGGGGTCGTGGGGCGGGCCTGGCCAGCCTTCCCCACACCCACCGAGCGCGTTCCACTACTCGCAGAGTGACCACTCGCAAGTGGCCGAAAAACCATCGTCTGCCTCTCCCTCGGCGGCTCCAGGCCATCTGCGAGCAGTCACTTTGCGAGTCGTGAGACGCGCTCGTCTACACACGCACGCACCCGCAGCCACACGCCGCGGTCGGCCATGACGCACTGAACGATGATGCAGACGACCTGCAGCAGGGAGGGGAAAAGGGTGCGAAGAAGACACCGAAGCACACCACCAGGTACACTACAGCGCCCAAGCCATCATGCCGACGCGCCCCTGGACGACAACAAGACGCCTCGAGCTTCGTACCAGTGCCGATGGCCACTGCACGCAGGCCCGCCCACCAGGAATCTCAGCCCCATGAACACAAGGAGCACCTGGGAACACCAAAAGGTACCGATACCGCTGCTCTCCGGACCTCTCTGGGGCCGCGTCCTGACCAGACTCTCGAGGCGAATCCAGCGGTGGCGACGAAGGCCTCCCGGGAGGCCCCCAAAACGGGGAAAACGCGGGAAAGGTAGCGGTATGGGTACCTCTTTCTCCTCTGAGAACCACTGGGGACGCGGGCAGCAGCACCATGCACACGAAGGCGGAGACGATCGAAGCAGAACAAACGCCATCAACATAAACTTTTGGCGCTCCGCTCGGATGTCTTGGATCCGCGCTGGGCCCCTCCCGGCGGCGCCTCCGGCGCCGCCCCTGGCGCGCTCCGCGCGCCGGGGAGGGGAGGTCCAGCGCGGATCCAAGAAATCCGCGCGGGCCTCCAAACGTTTAAGGTTTCTGTGGTTTTTGGTCCCTCCAGACGAGCGCATCCCGCCCGGCGGTGCCCGTGGCACCTCGGCCGCAAGCGGGCAGGGGACAGCGCACACCGTCCCATCGTTCTCCCGCCGCCGGGGCGACGGCCGCTGCGGCGCTGCAAGGGTAGCGCTCGAGCCACCGAGGCCGGAGCCGAAGGGGCTCGGGCCAAAATGGCTCCGGGGAGGAGGAGGAGGAGGAGGAGGAGGAGGAGGAGGAGGAGGAAGAGGAGGAGGAGGAGGAGGAAGAGGAGGAGGAGGAGGAGGAGGAGCGGGAGTGAGAGGGGGGAGGAGGGATGATAAGGAGGAGAAGGAGCAGGAGGAGGAGGAGGAGGAGTACGTGAGAGGATCGAGGGCCGAGGTGTTTGGACGCTTCTGGAGACTTCTGGTGGAGGGGCGTGAGGACGATGACGGCGAGTTTGCTGAGGGACGAAGCATGCTCTGAGGTAGTTTTGAAGATGGCCCGAGGGCGTTGGAAGGGATTGCGGGAGACTAGAGGGTGCTGAAGTAAGGGGGAGACGGATGATGATGATGATGATGATGATGATGATGATGATGATGATGATGATGATGATGATGATGATGATGATGATGTTGAGGATGATGATGATGATGCTGATGATGATGATGATGTTGAGGATGATGATGGTGATGATGGTGATGATGATGATGATGATGCTGATGATGATGATGATGATAACGATGATGATAATGATGAGTATCCTGATGATGGTGATGATGATGCTGATTATGATGATGCTGCTGATGATGACGATGCTGATGATGCTGATGATGGTGTACTATGAAGATGAGGGTGATGATGCTGATGATGGTGATGCTGATCTTGATGATGACGATGATGATGAGGATGAGGAGGACGATAGTGACGATCCTAAGTGAGATGATAACGGTGTCGATGATGGTGATGATGACGATGATGATGATGATGATGATGATGATGATGATGATGATGATGATGATGATGCAAGTGATGATGACGATCATGAGGATGTCTAAGATGAGCGGTTGTGATGGTTGTGACGATGGTAATGATGATGATGGTCATGCTGATGGTAGTGATGGTCATGATGCTGGTGAAGGTGGTGATGATGACGATGATGATGATGATGCTGCTGATACTGATGCTGATTTTGATAATGATAATGCTGATGCTGCTGACGATGATGATGTTGATGAGGATGCTGATGATGATGAGGATTCTGATGATGCTGAGGATGATGATGATGATGATGACGATGATGATGATGGTGATGATGATGCTGATGATTATGATGATGATGATGTCGATGATGCTGCGATAGCTGAGGATCACTACGACGGTGATGATGGTGATGGTGATGCTGATGATGATGCTGATGATGATGGTGATGATGGTGGTTGTGATGACAAGTGTGCTGCTGCTGATGCTGCTGCGACTGATGATGAGGAATATTATGATGACGATGATGATAATTAGGATGATGATGCTGATGATGATAATGATGCTATTGATGATGATGATGATGATGGTGATGGTGATGGTGATGGTGATGATGATGATGATGATGATGATGATGATGATGATGATGATGATGATGATGATGATGATGATGACGATCATGATGATGATGCTGATGCTGATGCTGATGCTGATGCTGATGCTGATGCTGATGATGCTGATGATGTTGACGTTTCTGATGGTGAGGTTGATGCTGATAATGAACCTGCCGTGGTGATGATGATAATTGTGATGACGACGACGATGCCAGAAGGAGGATGAGGAGGAATATTGGGGACACACTCTCGTCTCTGTCCTTTCCATGCCCTCCTATCCGCTCCACTCTCCTCTTCCTCCTTTGCTGAAGCATTGTAGGCTTTATCGGTCTGGATTCCCTGCGGTGGAGGGGGAGAACGAATAGGACGAGGGACATGGTGGATCGGGAAACATAGGATGGATGAGGAGGCGAAGCCGCACGAGAAGGGATGGGTGGAAGAGGAGGATTTGGACGAGAGGAAGATGGCGGATGGAGGTTGTGGATGGAGGAGCGTGAGGAAGGACAATGTGAGGAGGTGGATGGCGGGTGGCCAAGGAGGCAACGATGGCGCGACGGCGGGGTGACGCGACCAGGGACCAGGGAGCCGGCGCGCCGCCCTGGACGAAGCGCAAACAGCACCCCGTCGTCGTCGTCGGCGGCCGTCGTCGTCGGCGTCGTCGTCGGCGGCCGTCGTCAGCGGCGTCGCCGTCGTCATCCTCGGGTCGGCGTCGGCGTCGCCGTCGTCATCCTCGGGTCGGCGTCGGCGTCGGCGTCGTCGTCGTCGCTTCCGCCGCGGGGCCGCGGGGTCGCTCTGCGCGCCGGCAGGCCCGCGAGCGGGTCGGCGGCGGCGCCCGCGGGGGCTGAGCGCACCCTCGGCAGCCGCGGAGGGCCCGCGGCGCGAGCCGGGGGCGGAGTGGAGCCCGCCTCCCTGGGCGGCCGCGCTGCCCTCGACTCCTCGGGCGTGTCTGCTCCTCGTTCTCCTCGTCTGCCGCTTCTCGCCCGTCGCCTCCCACTTCCTGCTCCGCCTCCTCCTCCTCCGACCTCCTCCTCCTGCCTTCTTCTCCTCCACGTCCTGCCGCCTCCCTCCTCCCTTGTCCCTCCTCCCTCCTCCATCTTCTCTCTGCCTGCGCTGCGCTCCGTTCGACGCTGAGAGACGACAGGACAGTTACAAACAGTTCGAGGCTCCCAAATCGCGGGAAGACTCGGCCGACGCGTCTCCCGTCAGCCTTGAACGCAGCCCCCATCAGCCCTCCACATGTCTTAGGCTCCTTGGCACGACGGTCTTCAACGCAAGCCAGCCACGTCTCGCCGATCTTGCAGTGGAGCACTCGTGCACGGGTGCGCTGAATTCCTGATTTTTTCGTAGGGCACGATCCGCGTGAAGGCGGTGCCAAATAATTCGGGTATCCTCGCGCGAACGCCCCCACTGAGGCTACAGGTGGACCTCCTCCAGGCGCAACCCGTGCGAGGCATGTTCCGAAATGGCTGGGGGTTCACCATGCGAAGCTGCCCATTGGTGCCATAGGTGGAGCTCCTTCTGGGGCATGGTTCGCGTGACGGGTCTGCCGACATGGGCGGGGGAGCGCTGTACGAACCTTGTCTCTCGGCCTTTAGGTAGCGCTCCTTGTGGGCACGAGCCGCGTGATGGTTTGTGCCGTAATCGCCAGGGGCGGGGGGGGCGCAGTGCAAAGGTGGAGATCCCTATGGGTCGCGATCCATGTGCGAGATGTGCCGAAGTAGACGGGAGGGCGGGATGCGAACCTTGCGTCCAGGGCCGTCCTTGGAACCCCTTGCGGGCCACGATCCCTATGAGAGGTGTGCCGAAGTGAGCGGGGCGACGCTATGAAGCTTCACTCTGGTGCCGCAAATGCACCTATTTGCGGCGGGGTACGATCCGCGTGAGGGGCGTGCCACTACGCGAACCTTGTCTCTGTGGACGGAGGTGGAGCTCCCTTTGTGCGCGATCCCTGTGAGGGGTGTGCCGACGAGGGCGGGGGAACGCTAGCCAAGCCTGTCTCTGGGGCCGTAGGTGGTGCTCCCTGAGGGCACGACCCGTGCGACAATCGATGTCCTCCAAGACGGCACGCTTCAGACTACAACTAGAGCTTATTATGTAGAACCTAAGCGCGCGCGAAGCGCGCGCGCGTGGTGGACGCGTTCGGCATATGTTCGAATGCAATTGTTTCTTGCGTGGCCCGCCTGCTGCTGGCCCGATCGTGCTGCACATCGCCAGAGGGTGGAACAACGTGTGTGTGTGTGTCTGATTGAAATCGCAAGCTCCTCGCCTATACTGGCTTGAACCAGCCGCGCCTCTATCAACGGACGCAACATACCATTCGAATTTACATCGTGCTTCAGGACTTTGTTTCACCAACCAACCTGTGCACCTGGGGTTGCGAAGGGCTTCGGTTCTCTGTTCTGGTGGAAGGTTGCTATGGTATCACATGAAGGGACATCCGTCCAATCTGATCGAGGATGCGTCTTACCTGCGCAGCAAGTGCGCAGCGTTCGCAACATGAGTTGACTACGTGTGACACGGCCATTCATGGGTGCCCATGTTCCCGAGTGCTTGCCTGTGCTCCACGGGCTCTGCGCTGTTGGTGGGCGTTTCCGGGACCAAGTGGTGCCGGTGATCTTCTGGCTGCACGGGTGCCCACATCGTCTTGCAGTGGTACGTCAGTTCAGTTCCCTTGTGCCAGCTGTGGCCACACAGAAACGAAGCTGCGACAGGTTCTTGCGCTTTGTACCACTTCCTGAGCGCAATGAACTTTACTTTTTGGTGCACTCTCAGCTGTTTTGTATGTCCGCCGTCCCTCCTCTGGGTTGATCTTTATGCTCCTCATTTTTCAACCGTCTGGGTTCGTTCATACGTCTTTTTTCCTCTCTCTCTTTTTCTTCTCTTCCGCTCCATAAATACGGGTTTATGTCGTTGACGTTATTTCTGAGGGATGGTTTTCGGTTGCTGCTTACTTTGTGGGACATGTTCCTCATCAGTATCCGGTCGAATACCTCCATCGTCTGAGTGACATGGTCGGCGTTATCCGCGGACCGTGCGCGCGGCTTGCAAACATACTTTTAGGCTTACGCCGCATCCGCAGACCCCTTGTTCTTCCATGGGGATTTTCTTCGGGCGTTTCGGAGTGTGCTACGGTACTCAAGTGGGCTGTCTTGGTCTCCGTCGAAAGCCCGAAGCGCTCAGCATATCCAGTGCTTATATGTGTAGGACTGAACATGACATGAAGTTTCGTCGGGGGCTCCTCACATCAATTTTTGTTGATGCCCCCTGGGGGTAGCCGGGACGCTCTCGCAATTCTGGTTCGCAGTAGGGATTCCAGTGTGTGTGTGTGTGTGTGTGTGTGAGTGCGCCATATTGTGAAGGCCTGACGGCCAGTGCCGCCGACCCTGAAAGACATCGACGACGACCAGGAGGAGGAGGAGGAGGAGGAGGAGGAGGAGGAGGAGGAGGACGAGGAGGAGGAGGACGAGGAGGAGGAGGAGGAGGAGGAGGAGGAGGAGGAGGAGGAGGAGATAACGAAGAGGAGGAGGAGGAGGAGGAGGCGGAGATAAGGAGAAGGAGGAGGAGGAGGAGAAGAAGGAGGAGGAAAAGGACTCCCACCTGGGCCCCCTCCCCTGGGGAGGAGGACCGGAGGAGGACCGGCGTGGGAGAGGGGAGGGGAGAGGGAGGAGGACCCCCACGGACGGATGCGTATCTGACTCCCCTCCCCCCCTGGGACTCCTCCCATCCTGGGGAGGAGGACCCGAGGAGGACCGGCGCGCTGGAGAAGGACCGGCGTGGGAGAGGAGGACCCCCAGAGGCAATGCGAATCTGACCCCCCCCGCCCCCTCGGGACCCCCCCCCCGCCAGGGAAGGGACAAAGGGAAGAGGCTTCCATTTGACGTCATGAGGACGTGGATGGAATTCCCTCGAGCTGCGAACCCGTTCCCCGAAGGAGGGGGGGTGCTCTCTCTCTCTCTCTTTTTTTCTTTTGTTCTCTCTCTCTCTCTCTTTCTTTCTCTCTCTCTCTCTCTCTCTCTCCCCCGACGGGAGAGGAGGATGGGAAGGAGGGGACGAAAGAAGGCTCCCCGTCGACGGGACCGGACAGACACCCCACACACGCCGACAGGGTCGGCGGACTTGCTGATGTTTCTCGGGGTTCCCACACCAGATATCTTCTCACTTACAATGCTCTTTGGTTTTTCCCAACCCTCCTGCGTTGGGTACTCGTTTTGAAAAGAGCACTGCGGTCTCCACCTCCTCCTCCTCCTCCTCCTCCTCCTCCTCCTCGTTTCCGCCTCCCTTTTGCCATGCCCCTTCCTGCGTGCCAGCTTGCTTCCTACCTGGTCATCCCTGCTGGGCTGCGATCTGCGAAACTGTCGCCACCTCTCGGGGATGCAGCGGAGGGACGTCCTACGCGGACCACCAGAAGACCTCGCCATCCCTGGTGTGCTGCGATCTGCGAGCCTGTCGCCACTTTCGAAGGCTGCTGGGGATGCAGCGGGGTGAGGTTCTGCGCGGACCACCAGGAGACCTCGCCATCCCTGGGGGGCTGCGATCTGCAAAAGTATCGCCACTTTCGAGCGCTGCTGGGGGGTGCAGCGGAGGGACGTCTGACGCGGACCACCAGGAGACCTCGCCATCCTTGGGGGGCTGCGATCTGTGAACTTGTCGACACTTTCGAAGGCTGCTGGGGATGCAGCGAAGTGACGTCCTACGCGGACCACCAGGAGACCTCGCCACCACGGGGGGCTGCGATTTGTGAAATTTTCGCCACTTTCGAGAGCTGCTGGGGGGAGCAGCGGAGTGACGTCTTACGTTGACCACCAGGAGACCTCGCCATCCCTGGGCAGCTGCGATCTGCGAAACTGTCGCCACTTTCGAGGGCTCCTGGGGGGAGCAGCGGGGTGACGTCCTACGCGGACCACCAGGAGACCTCGCCATCCCTGGGGGGCTGCGATGTGTGAAACCGTCGCCATTTTCGAGGCTGCTGGGGGGAGCAGCGGAGTGACGTCTTACGCGGACCACCACAAGACCTCGCCATCCCAGGGGGGCTGCGATCTGCGAACTTGTCGACACTTCCGAGGGTTGCTGGGGGATGCAGCGGAGTGACGTCCTACGCGGGCCACCAGGAGACCTCGTCATCCCTGGGGGGCTGCGATCTGCGAAAGTATCGCCACTTTCGAGGTCTGCTGGGGGAGGCAGCGGAGTGACGTCCTACGCGGGCCACCAGCAGCCCTCGCCATCCCAGGGGGTCCAGCGGAGTGATTTCTTTTTCTGTTTTTTTTTTCGATTGCCAGGGTCGTCAGGAAGGAAGCCGAACAGCTGGCGGGCGAGCTAGGCCTCGCTCGCTTCTTGCATGAACTAAAAACAGGATCCATGATTTGTTCGAACGCCGCGGCGACATGGCGCAAACAGCGCTGAATATTTTGCGTACTACCGGCAAAAGCAACACTCTTCGGTCTTTTCCCGTCACTTTCGTCTTCGTCTTCTGCCCCCTGCCACCTTCCCTCTGCTGCTGCTGCCGCCCTGACGGTTCGGCCCCCCCCGCGTCCTTCTCCTGCCCTTCGTTCCCGCCCCCATGTCCTCCTCAAGCCTGGGCACCCGTTCCTCGTCCTTTTGCTGTTGTCCTGTGAATTGTGCCACGTGAGTGCATCCCACGTACCTTGCACATCATCTAACGGCGCCTGCATTGTCATTGTCTTGGCAAGTTTGGGCCTCCTTTTGTCACTAAGTAGCACATGGGTCGGGTGCGCCACAGGGCCATTGTCAGCGCAGGGTCTGCCAGGGTCGCACGTGACACAATGCGGAGCAGTGGGGAAACCCTCCCCTGGGGGGGGGGAGAGGCTGACTTGGAGGACGGGGCGCGGCGGACCACCGCCGCGGTAAAGGGCCCTGGACGGATCTTGCAGTCAAGATGTCCTCTGCTTCACTGACACGGGCGCCTGAGGAGGAGGAGGAGGAGGAGGAGGAGGAGGAGGAGGAGGAGGAGGAGGAGGAGAGGGGAGGAGGAGGAGGAGGAGGAGGAGGAGGAGGAGGGGAGGAGGGAGGAGGAGGAGGGAGGAGGAGGAGGAGGCGGAGGAGGAGGAGGAGGCGGAGGAGGAGGAGGAGGAGGAGGGAGGAGGAGGAGGAGGAGGAGGAGGAGGAGGATCCAGGCCGGGAGCGCTCCTTCGACGCGCCGACGGCCTCGCCGCCTAATGCGAGGCGCGCTCCTCTCGGACCGGGGGCCTCGCGAAGGGGGCCGCGGGGGCCCCCGCTTCGGGGAGGGGGGGGGGCGCCGGTCGTCCGCCCCCCGCGCGCCTCCCGTGGGCCCCGCGGCGCGGCCTCAGATTGGAGGGCGCCGCGACTGCGAGGAGGGGGTGGGGGGAGGGAGGACGAGGAGGAAGGAGGAAGGAGGAAACGAGAGGGGGAGGGCGGAAAAAGAGGAGGTGGAGGAGGAGGAGGAGGAGGAGGAGGAGGAGGAGGAGGAGGAGGAGGAGGAGGAGGAGGAGGAGGGAGGGGGAAGAGGAGGCCGGCGCTCCCTCGGGCACGCTGTGCTCCAGGAGGGCCCAGCTCTGCGTGCCTCGCGGGCAGGGCGTCGTGGTCGGGGCCCCCGCACGGCGCCGCCAGGCTTTCCCCGGCGATGCTGCTCGTTCCCCGCTCTTCGCCCGACTTTGACGGGGGGGGGAAAAGGAGGGCGAGGGGGAGGGGGGCGAACAACAGGGTTGCGGAGATCCGACCACGTGATTATCCTGGTGGTTTTCTCTTCGGCTTCGGCCCATCGGGGACCGTTTTCGGGCGCGTCGGACAAGCAGTTCTGCTATCGGAGTTCGCCGCGTGAGAGGTTTATCTGATCGCTTCAGACACGGCGCCGGTCCATATTGCACCACTGTTGCAATGCAATGGCGCGGACACGGCGGACGAGAAGGAGGATTGGAGACTCGACGGGGGAGGAAAAGGAGGGGGGAAGGAGGAGGAGGAGGAGGAGGAGGAGGAGGAGGAGGAGGAGGAGAGGAGGAGGAGGAGGAGGAGGAGGAGGAGGAGGAGAGGAGGAGGAGGAGGAGGAGGAGGAGGAGGAGGAGGAGGAGGAGGAGGAGGAGGAGGAGGAGGAGGAGGAGGGGAGGAGGAGGAGGAGGAGGAGGAGGAGGAGGAGGAGGAGGAGGAGGGGGAGGAGGCCTTTCGACGGCTTCTTGGGGACGTTTGGGGACCGAGCTGGGTCGCGGGCAAAACGACTTTTTGGGGGGCCTCTCGCGGTCTCTGTTTTGAGGCCCCTCGGGCTCTCGGGGGCCTCTCGGCGGCGTCTTCGGGACCTCCTGGGGCTTCAAGACCGCATGGGCTGCCATGCGTAAACCGTGCGGAAGCCGATTGGGTTCTGACGATTTGCACCTTGGGGCCTTTCTGGGTGCCCTGTTGGGGATAATTATCCTCGGGCCGTCCTGCTTGGCTTCGAAACGTCAAATGTCATCTCTGAGCTCGCACGAGCCCCGAATGAGCTTCGTCCCTCCCAGGTGGGCCCAGTCTGGTCCTGTTGCACGGGGCGCCCTCGTAAACGGGCGCGAACCCATGAGGGCCCCGGCCCCCCCTCCGTTTGGCCTGTTTAGGTGGTCGTTTGCATGGGGCGCCCATGCGAATGTACGCGAATCCTCGGAGTATTCGGCCGGGGGGGGTTGCTTGTATTTGGCGGCCGTTTGCATGGGGCGCCCATGCAAATGTACGCGAATCCTCGGAGTTTTCGGCCGGGGGCATTTGCTTGTATTTGGCGGCCGTTTGCATGGGGCGCCCATGCAAATGGGTGCAACCCCCTGAGGCGTTCGGCCCGGAGGGTTCGCTGGTTGGGGGCCCCATTTGCATGGGGCGCCCATGCAAATGGGCGCTGGGGCGTGGGGGCTGGGCTCGCCGGGGTTTGCCCGTTCTGGCGGCCATTTGCATGGGGCGCCCGTGCAAATTGGCTTCCGCGCGTAAGGGAGTGTCAAATTTCCAGTTCGGGGTCCCCTGGGGGGATGACAGGGCGGTAACCACCTCACACGCCTGGAGACCCACAAGGGGTCGGCGGATTTATCTGGCACCCGAAAAGCAGTTCCTCGCTGGATAAGTGTGTGTGTGTGTGTGCGTGTGTGTGTGTGTGTGTGTGTGTGTGTGTGTGTGTGTGTGTGTGTGTGTGTGCGTGCGTGTGTGTGTGTGTGTGTGTGTGTGTGTGTGAATGTGTGTGTCTGTCTGTCCGTCCGTGTCTGTCTGTCTTTCTGTCTGTCCGTCTGTCTGTCTGTCTGTCCGTCTGTCTGTCTGTCTGTCTGTCTGTCTGTCTGTCTGTCTGTTTGTCAGTTCTGTCTGTCTGTCTGTCTGTTTGTCAGTCTGTCTGTCTGTCTGTCTGTTGGTCTGTCTCTCTGTCTGTCTGTCCGTTTGTCTGTCTGTCTGCTTGTCTGTTTTTCTTCAAGTGGGCGTGTGTGAGGCCCCGGCCGCATGCGCTCTCCACGCTCTTGGGCTTCCAGGCCGCGTGACTACGCCGCGTCGCTGCGCGCGCGCGGCCGCGACGCCAAACCACAAGAAAACGAGCGTGCATGTGCGAGCTTGAGCGATCAGCTGTGGCGCGCGCGGGCCTCCGGGTGCACCACTGCTGCGCACCTGCGTAGGCTGCCGCGCCAGCGCGCGTCTCCAGACCTGCACGTGCGCCGCCTGCCATGCCCCGTGCTCCTTTGTTGGCATCCCCCCCGACTCCCCCCATAGCTAGGCGAAGCGACAGAACGCAAGGAAAACGGCGGTGCCTCGCGCGCGCAGAAGGAGGGCGGTGATGAGGCCGAGGAGACGTGTTGATTGTGATAGCGATCGAGGTGACTATGACAGCGATGATGGCGATGGTGATGGTGATGGTGATGGCCATGCTGGTGGGGAATATAGAACAGACGAAGAACGGGGGGAGGAGGAGGAATGAGAGAAGAGACGGGGGGAAGAAGGAACATGGATGCGGGACGAAGCAGCGGGGACGAGGGAGGGAAGGGCAAGGGTGGTGGGGGACGGGGCCAGGTGTGCAGGAGTGAGCGGCGCTGCCGCGCGCGCGCCAGGTCGCGCGGCAGACTCTGGAGGACCCGGGACGCCCTCTCGCTGCCGGCGGGGGGAGCGGGTGGGCCTTGGGCGCTCCGAGGCCGCCCCCCTCGCTGTCCAGGGGCCCCCGGGGGGGTTGGCGCCCCGCCCTCGGCGGAGGGGCGGCGCCGGGCCCACGGAGGGCGGCGGGAGCGGAGAGCGGGCGGGCCCTCTTTGCCGGAATCCAGCAGTGGCGAGGCGTCCTGGCTCGCCCGGTGGCCCTACTAAGCAATGTTCTGAGAACCTGTTGCGGTTCCCAACGACATGTTCTTAGGGCATTGCTGGCGGGGAGTGTCTTGTTTTAACACATCGGGTTCATGTTCTAAGAACACTGTTTTTGCTATGAGAACCTTTTGGGGTTCTGAGAACGTGTCGTGGCAGGACTGTGCGAATGCCAGGACGGTCGGTCCCTGCTCCACGGAGGTGAAATCTCCGCCCCCCCCCCAAGAGATGTCAGCATGTTTGGGTGCAGTGCCTCTGGAGTGAGCGGGCCGCACGGGGCGCTCGAGAGAGCGCCGCGCTCCCGAGGAGTCCGAGGGGGGGAGTCCGCGCCCCGTCCTCGGCAGGAGCTGGCGGAAGGCCGGCGGACGGCGGCGGGAGCGGAGCGGGGCCGCCTCCGCGGGCGGAAGCTGGCCGAAGGCCGGCGGCAACCGGCGGATCCAGAGGCTGGTCATGCAGCAAGTTGGGGGTTCAGGATTTCTGGAATCCCCCTGGCATCGCTCGGACGTGTGCATTTTTCCCGGAAAGGGCATCGGCCCAGGGTTCTCTTTTAGTAGGTAAACCTAGTCCCCCGGTGCCTGCTTGAGGGAGGCCGGCGAATTTTTTCCCTGATAAATAACGAGGTCGAAGGAGGCCGGCGAATTAAAATTTGAGGATGTCTCGAGCGAAACGCTTGTTTTTCAGAATTTGTTGAGGATGTCTCGAGCGAAACGCTGGTTTTGCAGAGTTGGGGATGTCTCGAGCGAAACGCTTGTTTTCAGAATTTGCTGAGGATGTCTCGAGCGAAACGCTGTTTTGCAGAGCCGACCGCGACGCGGAAAAGCGCCCCGCGCGAAGGAATTTCGATGATGTCTCGACTAATTCCTTTGTTTTTGTACGATTTCCTGGAATTTTGGCAGGATGTCTCGAGCGAAATGCACGACCCCACCCTAGCACGACCATACCCCAGCACGACCACACCCCAGCACGACCAGACCCCAGCACGACCCCACCCCAGCACGACCCCACCCCAGCACGACCATACCCCAGCACGACCACACCCCAGCACGACCCGACCCCAGCACGACCCTACCCCAGCAAGACCACACCCCAGCACGACCACACCCCAGCACGACCTCACCACAGCACGACCACACCCCAGCACGACCACGCCCCAGCACGACCACGCCCCAGCACGACCACGCCCCAGCACGACCACCCAGCACGACCACCCCCAGCACGACCACCCCCCACGACCACACCCCAGCACGACCACACCCCAGCACGACCACACCCCAGCACGACCACACCCCAGCACGACCACACCCCAGCACGACCCGATCGATAAATCACAGGGTGCGGAGCACCCCAGCACGAACCCACCCCAGCACGACCCCACCCCAGCACGACCCCACCCCAGCACGACCACGCCCCAGCATGACCACACCCCAGCACGACCACACCCCAGCACGACCACTCCCCAGCACGACCCCACCCCAGCACGACCCCACCCTAGCACGACCACACCCCAGCACGACCACACCCCAGCACGACCCCACCCCAGCACGATCACACCCCAGCACGACCCCACCCCAGCAAGACCACACCCCAGCACGACCGCACCCCAGCACGACCTTACCACAGCACGACCACACCCCAGCACGACCACGCCCCAGCACGACCACGCCCCAGCACGACCACGCCCCAGCACGACCACGCCCCAGCACGACCACGCCCCAGCACGAGCACGACCACCCCCCAGCACGACCACCCCCCAGCACGACCACACCCCAGCACGACCACTCCCCAGCACGACCACACCGCCTTGGTTGAGTGGTTGCCTGTCGTCGTGGAATGTTTCGTGGGGTGTCTCGTGGAATGTTTCGCGGGGTGTCTCGTGAAATGTTTCGTGAGGTGTCTCGTGGAATGTTTCGTGAGGTGTCTCGTGGGCTGTTTCGTGAGGTGTCTCGTGGGATGTTTCGTGAGGTGTTGCCCAGTTGGGTATCATGAAAACGTGTCCATGCTCCACATGTCTATATCCCTTTCCGGGTTCGTGGGTCCATCATGTTTTTTTCGGCGAGGACCATCCAGGACCATCCTGGACCATCGAGCAACAAAAAAACACGCACGAAACCGAAAAATGCACGGGAAATGAACGTCCGAGCGATGGCGAGACCCGCCACATGGGTACATCACCAAGCATGAGAAAACAGAAGCCTTCGGAGGTCCGGGCGGGTTTTCCGCGTCGGCGCCGCACCACCGTCCCCAGCACGGAAACATTGTTTCGTTGGCGGAGCGGCGTCTACACTGGCGGATTGTTGTGTGTATATGTTTGCGTATGTTCATGTCTGTATGTGTGCATGTGTGTTCACAAACCTGTTTGCGCCGTTCTTGAGGAAGGCGGCCACCGTGCTTCCTGGGCTGTCATCTTATGGCACATCTCGTCAGACACCGCCAGACCGCGCAGGTCCTCTGCCTTGAAGGGGAGGGGGAGGCTGTTGGCGAGGCCGTTGAGGAGGTCAATGGGGATATGGGTGGGGAGGTGGAGAGGAGGACGGGGAGGAGGAGGAGGAGGAGGAGGATGATGATGATGATGATGAGGAGGAGGAGGAGGAGGAGGAGGAGGGGGGAGGGGGCACATGGGGAAGAAGAGGAGGAGGAGGAGGAGAATAATAAGACGAACAAGAATAATAAAATAATAATAATAATAAGAATAATAATAAGAAGAAGAAGAAGAAGAGGAGGGGGAGAAGGAGGAGTAGGAGGAGGAGGGGGGTACATGGGAGGAGGAGGAGGAGGAGGAGGAGGAGGAGGAGGAGGAGGAGGAGGAGAGGAGGAGGGAGGAGGAGGAGGAGGAGGAGGAGGAGGAGGAGGAGGAGGAGGAGGAGGAGGAGGAGGAGGAGGAGGAGGAGGGAGGAGGAGGAGGAGGAGGAGGAGGAGGAGGAGGAGGAGGAGGAGGAGGAGCAGGATGACGACGTCGTCATAAGTGATGAGTAGTTTGGCTAGCGAGCGACCCCAGACATCCCCATCGCACTTGTGCTAGGGGAGGACAGGAGAGAGGACGAGAGGGCCGCCTTGACTCGGGTCGAGGTCGCCATCGTCGTCGTCGTCGTCGTCGAGCATCCAGGATCGAGGATCGAGTTATGTGGCACTTTTTGGGATTTCCCGGTGATTCCAGGGACGTCCGGATATGGAGATTTTGGAGAGAAGGTGGGAGTTCAACGTCAGCGTAATGCATGTCTGAGCAGCGAGATCAGGGAGCTGGGTGCACAGGACGTTGCTGGCCTGGGAGGGGGCGTGGCGGCTTGTCTTCTTAGCGCTTGACCACCGTTTGGCCCTGTGCTCTGGCCCTCCACGCGAGCATCCAGCACGTTCGATACGAATGCAGTTGCGAGTGTGTGGGTGCGTTTCGGTTTCCTAGCACATCCTCATGCATCTCCTCCTCCTCCTCCTGCTTATACGGTCAGATGAGTTCTCGCCTCAGGACCTCAAGATCCAGGAGCAGCAGCAGACAGCATCGGGGAGACGACAGAGCGAGGAGGCGGCGATCAAGATTCAGGCCAGTGTCCGTGGGCGCCAGACGAGGCAGCAGGTTGTAGCGGATACGGCTAGGAGAAGTGAAGCGGCCACCAAGATTCAGGCCAGCGTCCGCGGGCGCCAGGAGAGGCGGCAGGTTTCGGCGGCGGCGGCTAAGAACAGTGAGGCGGCCACTCATATTCAGGCCAGAGTCCGTGGGCACCAGACGAGGCAGCAGCTTGTAGCGGAGAAGGCTAGGAGAAGTGAGGCGGCCGCCCAGATCCAGGCGAAAGTCTGTGCGCACCAGGGCCGGCAGCAGGCGTCGGCGGAGAAGGCAGAGGTGAGCGAGGCATCGGCGGAGGAGATCCGGAGAGCCGAGGCGGCCGCCCAGATCCAGGCGAAAGTCCGTGGGCACCAGACGAGGCAGCAGGTTGTAGCGGAGAAGGCTAGGAGAAGTGAGGCCGCCACCCAGATTCAGGCCAGCGTCCGTGGGCACCAGGAGCGGCGGCATCCGTCGTCGGAGAAGAGGCGAGAAGAGAAGGAGGCCCTTGAGGCCTGGAACCTCGGGATCCAGGAGTCGCAGAAAGTAGGTTTTGTGAATCTGCTGCAGAGTGAGCGCGAGGCCGCCACCAGGATTCAGGCCACGGTCCGTGGGCACCAGGTGCGGCAACACGCGTCGGCGGAGAAGACGCAGACAACCAATGTATCGGCGGAGAAGGTGCGGCAGCACGGTTCGGCGGAGAAGACGCGGACAAGCAATGTGTCGGTGGAGGAGGCTCGGAGAAGTGAGGCGGCCACCCAGATTCAGGCCAGCGTCCGTGGGCACCAGGAGCGGCGGCAGGTTTCGGCGGCGACGGCTAAGATCAGTGAGGCGGCCACTCACATTCAGGCCAGAGTCCGTGGGCACCAGACGAGGCAGCAGATTGTCGCGGAGAAGGCTCGGAGAAGTGAGGCGGCCACCCAGATTCAGGCCAGCGTCCGCGGGCGCCAGGCGAGGCGGCAGGTTTCGGTGGCGGCGGCGGAGGAGGCCAGGAGAAGTGAGGCGGCCGTCCAGATTCAGGCCAGAGTGCGCGGGCATCAGGCGAGACAGCACGGGCCAGCGCAGAAGACTCGACCAAGTGAGGCATCATCGGAGAGGATGCGGAGAAGCGAGGCGGCCACCCGGATTCAAGCCAGAGTGCGCGGACGCCAGGAGAGGCAGCGGATGTCGCCAGAGAAGAGGCAGCAGCATCTGTCGTGGAGAAGGCGGAGAGGCAAGGCGGCGGCCAGGATTCAGGCCAGAGTCCGTGGGCGCCAGACGAGGCAGCGGGTTGTCGCGGAGAAGGCTAGGAGAGGTGAGGCGGCCACCCAGATTCAGGCGAAAGTCCGTGGGCACCAGGCGAGGCGGCAGGTTTCGGCGGAGACGGCCAGGAGAAGCGAGGCGGCCGCACAGATCCAGGCGAAAGTCCGTGCGCACCAGGGGCGGCAGCAGCACGCGTCGGCGGAGAGGGCAGAGGTGAGCGAGGCATCGGCGGAGGAAATCCGGAGAGCCGAGGCGGCCGCCCAGATCCAGGCCAGTGTCCGTGGGCGCCAGACGAGGCAGCAGGTTGTAGCGGAGAAGGCCAGGAGAAGCGAGGCGGCCGCCCAGATCCAGGCGAAAGTCCGTGGGCACCAGACGAGGCAGCAGGTTGTAGCGGAGACGGCCAGGAGAAGCGAGGCGGCCGCCCAGATCCAGGCGAAAGTCCGTGGGCACCAGACGAGGCAGCAGGTTGTAGCGGAGACGGCCAGGAGAAGCGAGGCGGCCGCCCAGATCCAGGCGAAAGTCCGTGGGCACCAGACGAGGCAGCAGGCGTCGGCGGAGAAGGCGAAGGCAGAGGCGAGCGAGGCATCGGCGGAGGAGATCCGGAGAGCCGAGGCGGCCGCCCAGATCCAGGCAAAAGTCCGTGGGCACCAGACGAGGCAGCAGGTTGTAGCGGAGAAGGCCAGGAGAAGTGAGGCGGCCACCCAGATCCAGGCGAAAGTCCGTGCGCACCAGGGGCGGCAGCGCGCGCCTGCCGCGGAGAGGCCACGCGGCAGCGAGGAGACCGAGGCACGGAGCAGCCAGCAGATGCATGCCAGCGTCCGCGGGAGCCAGGATCGGCAGAGTGTGCTGGAGGACGTGGGGAAGAAAGCGCGGCAGACGCACGAACTTTGGAGATCCGCGCGTGCTCCTTGCCTCGGCGAGGGGCCCCCCCTGGGGCGCTCGAAGCGCGCCAGGGGGGGCGCCGTAGGCGCCGCCAGGGGGATCCAGCGCCGATCCAACCCCGAGAGTCTGGCGACTCAATTTTCTCGAGCCAGGCGTTTTCGCTCGATTTCGGGCCCCGGGGCCCTCACAGATCGATCCGTCCCCAAAAATGAGGCAGAAAGGTGGAGTCCAGGGGTCCTGTCGCGCTCTTCTTCGATGTCGCATTTTTTCCCGGAAAGGGCGGGGGCCCAGGGTTCTCTTTTAGTAGGTAAACCTGTCCCCCGGTGCCAACTTGAGGGAGGCCGGCGAATTTTTTCCCTGATAAATAACGAGGTCGAAGGAGGCCGGCGAATTAAAATTTGAGGATGTCTCGAGCGAAACGCTTGTTCCCGGAAAGGGCGGGGCCCAGGGTTCTCTTTTAGTAGGTAAACCTGTCCCCCGGTGCCAACTTGAGGGAGGCCGGCGAATTTTTTCCTGATAAATAACGAGGTCGAAGGAGGCCGGCGAATTAAAATTTGAGGATGTCTCGAGCGAAACGCTTGTTTTTGAAATCCCGATCGATAAATCACAGGGTGCGGGCCACTTTTTCGTGTGTTGAGGATGTCTCGAGCGAAACGCTTGCTCCGCAGAGTTTGCCGAGGATGTCTCGAGCGAAACGCTTGTTTTGCAGAGCCGACCGCGACGCGGAAAAGCGCCCCGCGCGAAGGAATTTCGATGATGTCTCGACTAATTCGTTTGTTTTTGTACGATTTCCTGGAATTTTGGCAGGATGTCTCGAGCGAAATGCACGACCCCACCCTAGCACGACCATACCCCAGCACGACCACACCCCAGCACGACCAGACCCCAGCACGACCCCACCCCAGCACGACCCCACCCCAGCACGACCATACCCCAGCACGACCACACCCCAGCACGACCCGACCCCAGCACGACCCTACCCCAGCAAGACCACACCCCAGCACGACCACACCCCAGCACGACCTCACCACAGCACGACCACACCCAGCACGACCACGCCCCAGCACGACCACGCCCCACGACACGCCCCCACGCACCCCCCAGCACGACCACCCCCCAGCACGAACACCCCCCAGCACGACCACCCCCCAGCACGACCACACCCCAGCACGACCACGACCATCAGCACGACCACACCCCAGCACGACCACACCCAGTCGCACCCCCGTGGAATGTTTCGTGGCGTGTCTGGTTGAGTGGTTGCCTGTTCGTGGGGTGTCTCGTGGAATGTTTCAAAGGGGTGTCTCGTGGAATGTTTCGTGAGGTGTCTCGTGGAATGTTTCGTGAGGTGTCTCGTGGGATGTTTCGCGGGGTGGCACGACCACGCCCCAGCACGACCACCCCCCCAGCACGACCACCCCCCAGCACGACCACCCCCCCAGCACGACCACCCCCCAGCACGACCACACCCCAGCACGACCACACCCCAGCACGACCACTCCCCAGCACGACCACACCCCAGCACGACCACACCCCAGCACGACCACACCCAGTCGCACCCCCGTGGAATGTTTCGTGGCGTGTCTGGTTGAGTGGTTGCCTGTTCGTGGGGTGTCTCGTGGAATGTTTCAAAGGGTGTCTCGTGGAATGTTTCGTGAGGTGTCTCGTGGAATGTTTCGTGAGGTGTCTCGTGGGATGTTTCGCGGGGTGTCTCGTGGGATGTTTCGTGAGATGTCGCCCAGTTGGGTATCGTGAAAACGTGACCATGCTGCACATGTCTTTATCCCTTTCCGGGTTCGTGGGTCCATCAGTTTTTGAAATCCCGATCGATAAATCACAGGGTGCGGGCCACTTTTTCGTGTGTTGAGGATGTCTCGAGCGAAACGCTTGCTCCGCAGAGTTTGCCGAGGATGTCTCGAGCGAAACGCTTGTTTTGCAGAGCCGACCGCGACGCGGAAAAGCGCCCCGCGCGAAGGAATTTCGATGATGTCTCGACTAATTCCTTTGTTTTTGTACGATTTCCTGGAATTTTGGCAGGATGTCTCGAGCGAAATGCACGACCCCACCCTAGCACGACCATACCCCAGCACGACCACACCCCAGCACGACCAGACCCCAGCACGACCCCACCCCAGCACGACCCCACCCCAGCACGACCATACCCCAGCACGACCACACCCCAGCACGACCCGACCCCAGCACGACCCTACCCCAGCAAGACCACACCCCAGCACGACCACACCCCAGCACGACCTCACCACAGCACGACCACACCCCAGCACGACCACGCCCCAGCACGACCACGCCCCAGCACGACCACGCCCCAGCACGCACGACCACCCCCCCAGCACGACCACCCCCCAGCACGACCACCCCCCAGCACGACCACACCCCAGCACGACCACTCCCCAGCACGACCACACCCCAGCACGACCACACCCCAGCACGACCCGATCGATAAATCACAGGGTGCGGACCACCCCAGCACGACCACACCCCAGCACGACCCCACCCCAGCACGACCCCACCCCAGCACGACCACGCCCCAGCACGACCACACCCCAGCACGACCACACCCCAGCACGACCACACCCCAGCACGACCACGCCCCAGCACGACCACACCCCAGCACAGCACGACCACACCCCAGCACGACCACACCCCAGCACGACCCCACCCCAGCACGACCCCACCACAGCACGACCACCCCCAGCACGACCACACCCCAGCACGACCCACCCCAGCACGACCCCACCCCAGCAAGACCACACCCCAGCACGACCACACCCCAGCACGACCTCACCACAGCACGACCACACCCCAGCACGACCACGCCCCAGCACGACCACGCCCCAGCACGACCACGCCCCAGCACGACCACCCCCCACGACCACCCCCCAGCACGACCACCCCCCAGCACGACCACCCCCCAGCACGACCACACCCCAGCACGACCACACCCCAACACGACCATACTCCAGCACGACCACACCCCAGCACGACCACACCCAGTCGCACCCCCGTGGAATGTTTCGTGGGGTGTCTGGTTGAGTGGTTGCCTGTTCGTGGGGTGTCTCGTGGAATGTTTCACGGGGTGTCTCGTGGAATGTTTCGTGAGGTGTCTCGTGGGTTGTTTCGTGAGGTGTCTCCTGGGATGTTTCGCGGGGTGTCTCGTGGGATGTTTCGTGAGGTGTCGCCCAGTTGGATATCGTGAAAACGTGACCATGCTGCACATGTCTATATCCCTTTCCGGGTTCGTGGGTCCATCATGTTTTGTGCAACTTCGGACCTCCGGGAAGAGCTCCGCGCGGACCTCCGACCGCTCGCGTGTCGTGCCGAAGCTTTGTTCCTCCGAGGCCGACGACGCCAGAAGCCTGGCGGCCACCCAGATTCAGGCTTAAGTCGGGCGTGTCCCCCTACAGAGGGGATTTTCGACGACGAATGCAAGATACCCCAGAAATGCCCCAAAAAGGTCAAACAAAAATTCAATAAATAGTCCCCTGATTATTTTTGGGTATTCCAGATTTCGTAATAAAAGGGAGGGGGTCTGGACCCTCCAAGACAAGCCATTTCAGACCTCCCCCGTGGGAGAACCCTCCAAAACATCGTCCCCAGACCCCCCAGGCCCTCCAAGATGGCCTGGAAGAGACCCCCCCTCGAAATGAGACCCCCCTCCCTTTATTACGAAATCTGGAGTATTGTTTTGGCTATTTTGGGGGTATTTTTTCCCGGAAAGGGCAAAGGCCCAGGGTTCTCTTTTAGTATGTAAACATGTCCCCGGTGCCCAACTTGAAGGAGGCCGGCGAAATTTTTCCTTGATAAATATCGAGGTCGAAGGAGGCCGGCGAAATTATTTTTGAGGATGTCTCGAGCGAAACGCTTGTTTTTGAAATCCCGATCGATAAATCACAGGGTGCGGGCCACTTTTTCGTGTGTTGAGGATGTCTCGAGCGAAACGCTTGCTCCGCAGAGTTTGCCGAGGATGTCTCGAGCGAAACGCTTGTTTTGCAGAGCCGACCGCGACGCGGAAAAGCGCCCCGCGCGAAGGAATTTCGATGATGTCTCGACTAATTCCTTTGTTTTTGTACGATTTCCTGGAATTTTGGCAGGATGTCTCGAGCGAAATGCACGACCCCACCCTAGCACGACCATACCCCAGCACGACCACACCCCAGCACGACCAGACCCCAGCACGACCCCACCCCAGCACGACCCCACCCCAGCACGACCATACCCCAGCACGACCACACCCCAGCACGACCCGACCCCAGCACGACCCTACCCCAGCAAGACCACACCCCAGCACGACCACACCCCAGCACGACCTCACCACAGCACGACCACACCCCAGCACGACCACGCCCCAGCACGACCACGCCCCAGCACGACCACGCCCCAGCACGACCACCCCCCCAGCACGACCACACCCCAGCACGACCACCCCCCAGCACGACCACACCCCAGCACGACCACTCCCCAGCACGACCACACCCCAGCACGACCACACCCCAGCACGACCACACCCAGTCGCACCCCCGTGGAATGTTTCGTGGCGTGTCTGGTTGAGTGGTTGCCTGTTCGTGGGGTGTCTCGTGGAATGTTTCACGGGGTGTCTCGTGGAATGTTTCGTGAGGTGTCTCGTGGAATGTTTCGTGAGGTGTCTCGTGGAATGTTTCGTGAGGTGTCTCGTGGGATGTTTCGCGGGGTGTCTCGTGGGATGTTTCGTGAGATGTCGCCCAGTTGGGTATCGTGAAAACGTGACCATGCTGCACATGTCTTTATCCCTTTCCGGGTTCGTGGGTCCATCATGTTTTATTTTTCGTCGAAACCCCCCTTGTAGGGGGACAGGCCCGACTTAAATTCAGGCCCACGCTCGCGGGAGGCAGGAGCGGCAGCGGCTGCAGCGGGCGCGCGGGAGCGAGGCGGCCGACCCGACGGTCCGTGGGCGGCCCCGCGAGCAGCCGGCGGGCCTGCAGGGCGTGGCGCTGGGCGACCTGGAGAACGAGGCGGCGACCCGGCTCCAGGCCTGAGTCGGGCCCGTCCCTCCACAGGAGGAGCGCTCAAAAGTAGTCCAGATTTCGTAATAAAAGGGAGGGGGTCTGGACCCTCCAAGACAAGCCATTTCAGACCTCCCTCGTGGGGTCGAACCCTCCAAAACATCGTCCCCAGACCCCCCAGGCCCTCCAAGATGGCCTGGAAGAGACCCCCCCTCGAAATGAGACCCCCCTCCCTTTATTACGAAATCTGGAGTAGTCCAGAAATAGTCCGGGGACCCTTTTTTGGGAGTATGTTTGCATCTTTTGTTTTTTCCCGGAAAGGGCGCGGGCCCAGGGTTCTCTTTTAGCCGTTTACCCCCGGATCTGACGGGTCAAGCGCCGGCGAAATTATTTGCGATAAATAACGAGGTAAAGTGCTGATTTTTTTAGAAAAAGTGCGTTTTGTGCGTGCCCGCTCGAGGAAAGTTCGCCCCCCATCTCGGATCCTCGATAAATAACGGGGTCCGCAGACCCCCGCTTTCCCTCGTAAAAAAGAGGGTGCGGAGCGTTTTTCGCAGAATCCTCGAAAAATAACGGGGTCTGGAGCCCCGACCGCGACTCGGAAAAGCGCCCCGCGCGCAGGAATTCCGAGGATGTCTCGCGCGTGCCGCGTCCCGCGCGCAGGAATTTCGAGGATGTCTCGACTAATTCGCTTGTTTTGTCAGGATTTCTTAGAACTTTGGCAGGATGTCTCGAGCGAAACGCTTATTTTACATAGTTTGTGGAGGATGTCTCGAGCGAAACGCTGGTTTTCGCAAAATTTGGAGATGTCTCGAGCGGGGGTCCAGAATTCAGAGGATGTCTCAGGCGAAATGCTTGTTTTCACGTCCCGCTCGCAAGAATTCCGAGGATGTCTCGCGCGTGCCGCGTCCCGCGCGCAGGAATTCTGAGGATGTTGGCAGGATGTCTCGAGCGAAACGCTTGTCCCCAGCACGTTCCGTAGCGCGTCCCCTTGGCACGTCCCGCGGTGCGTCCCCATGGCACGTCCCTTGGCACGTCGCTTGGCGGGTCCCTTGAGACGTTCCGCGTCGCGTCCTCCTGGCATGTCCCCCTTGTCAATTAGCTCTGGGGCAGCTACTATGTGTTCAGGCAGCTCGAGCTTAAGATCCAGATCAGTTCGGTCAGGACTCGGATGCAAAGGAGGACTCGATCCACGACGCTATAGAGCACAATCGCGGCATTGCACATCGCAATTCAGCACGGTGCAGCACAGCACATATTTCGGCACGGTACATCAAGATCGATACACTCAGCATTGCATTTTGGCACGTTCCTTGGCACGTTCCGTGGGGCGTCCCTTGGCGAGTCCCCCTGGCACGTCGCGTGGCGCGTCCCCTGGCACATCCCGTGGCACATCCATTGGCACGTTCCGTAGCGCGTCCCCTTGGCACGTCCCGCGGTGCGACCCCATGGCACGTCCCCTGGCACGCCGCCTGGCGCCATCCCTCGGGACGTTTCGCGGCGCGTCCTCCTGACATGCTCCCCTGTCCATTAGCTCTTGGGCAGCTACTATGTGTTCAGGCAGCTCGAGCTTAAGATCCAGATCAGTTCGGTCAGGACTCGGATGCGTCGAGGCTATAGAGCACAATCGCGGCATGGCACATCGCAATGCAGCACGGTGCAGCACAGCACAGCCCTCTGCAGGGTACATCAGGATCGATACACTCAGCATTGCATTTGCCCGTCACCCAATCATGTGTCTTTGAAAACGCTGCCATGTGGTACAGTGCTATATTCCTTTCCGGGTTCGTGGGTCGATCATGTTTTTTCCCGGAAAGGGTTTGAGCCCAGGGTTCTCTTTTAGATGGTTTCCCCCCGGGTTTGACGGGAAGAGGGCCGGCGAATTTCTTTTGCGATAAATAACGAGTGGGAAGAGGGCCGGCGAATTAAAATTTGAGGATGTCCCTAGCGAAACGCTTGTTTTTCAGAATTTGTTGAGGATGTCTCGAGCGAGACGCTGGTTTTGCAGAGTTGGGGATGTCTCGAGCGAAACGCTTGGTTTCAGAATTTGTTGAGGATGTCTCGAGCGACACGCTGGTTTTGCAGAGCCGACCGCGACACGGAAAAGCGCCCCTCGCGCAGGAATTCCAAGGATGTCTCGCGCGTGCCGCGTCCCGCGCGCGGGTATTTGGATTTCTTGGGATTTTGACAGGATGTCTCGAGCGAAACGCTTGTTTTTCATAATTTGTTGAGGATGTCTCGAGCGAAACGCTGGTTTTGCAAAATTGGAGGATGTCTCGAGCGGTGGCCTCGTGGGGGGCCAGAATTCAAAGGATGTCTCAGGCGAAATGCTTGTTTTCACGTCCCGCTCGCAGGAATTCCGAGGATGTCTCGCGCGTGCAGCGTCCCGCGCGTAGGAATTCAGATGATTTTGACAGGATGTCTCGAGCGAAACGCTTGTCCCCAGCACGTTCCGTAGCGCGTCCCCTTGGCAGGTCCCGCGATGCGTCCCCATGGCACGTCCCTTGGCACGTCGCTTGGCGCGTCCCTTGAGACGTTCTGCGTCGCGTCCTCCTGGCATGTTCCCCTGTCCATTAGCTCTGGGGCAGCTACTATGTGTTCAGGCAGCTCGAGCTTAAGATCCAGATCAGTTCGGTCAGGACTCGGATGCAAAGGAGGACTCGATCCACGAGGCTATAGAGCACAATCGCGCCATGGCACATCGCAATTCAGCACGGCGCAGCACAGCACTGATTTCGGCACGGTACATCAAGGTCGATGCACTCAGCATTGCAACTTGGCACGTTCCTTGGCACGTTCCGTGGGGCGTCCTTTGGCGAGTCCCCCTGGCACGTCGCGTGGCGCGTCCCCTGGCACATCCCGTGGCACATCCATTGGCACGTTCCGTAGCGCGTCCCTTTGGCACGTCCCGCGGTGCGACCCCATGGCACGTCCCCTGGCACGTCGCCTGGCGCATCCCTTGGGACGTTTCGCGGCGCGTCCTCCTGGCATGTTCCCCTGTCCATTAGCTCTGGGGCAGCTACTATGTGTTCAGGCAGCTCGAGCTTAAGATCCAGATCAGTTCGGTCAGGACTCGGATGCAAAGGAGGACTCGATCCACGACGCTATAGAGCGCAGTCGCGCCATGGCACATCGCAATTCAGCACGGCGCAGCACAGCACAGCCCTTGGCAGGGTACATCAAGATCGATACACTCAGCATTGCATGTGCCCGTCACCCAATCAGGTGTCTTTGAAAACGCTGCCATGTGTTACAGTTCTATATTCCTTTCCGGGTTCGTGGGTCGATCATGTTTTTGTTTTTGTTTTTTTTTTATTTTGTCCAACCTCCGCCCGTAGGGGGACATGCCCGACTTCGCTCCAGGCCATGTTCCGAGGGGCCCGGGTCCGGCACCAGGTGTCCACGCGGCACGTCCAGAGAGGGACGGCCGCCAGGGCTCAGGACGCAGCGGGGTGGGGTGGGGGGGCCACGCCCGGCAGGCAGGCTCGGAGCGGGGTGGCGGGAAGCTTCTGTCAGTATCCTCTATCCGATCCCCATCGCCATCCCCATCCCCTTCGAGACCCCCACCAGATTGCCACCCCGGTTGGGGATACACACCCCTCGCAGCCCGAAGGGAGCGACCTATATATCCCCATCCAGGGGGGTACATTGGCCAGTGGGGCCCAGGCCACGCCGCAGGGGATGGGGATCGGATAGACGATACTCAATCTGTGGGGCAGGCGCAGGACCGAAGAACAAAAAGGCATGAACATAAACGTGTGGCGCTCCGCGCGGATTTCTCGGATCTGCGCTGGGCCCCCCCCCTGCGGCGCCCCCGGCGCCGCCCCTGGCGCGCTCCGCGCGCCAGGGAGGGGGTCCAGCGCAGATCCCAGAAATCCGCGCGGAGCGCCAAAAGTTTATGCTTATGCCGCTTTTTCTTCTTCTTCTTCTTCTTCTTCTTCTTGTTCTTCTTCTTCTTCTACAGGACCAGGATGAGTCGTTCCAGAGGATTCTGGAGCACTTTCAGAGCGTTCTGGGGCGCCTTGGAAAATCCGCGGCGCTTGGCACATCCTCTGGACCCGCCGGATTTCAGAGATCCCCGATTTGTCCTGGCCTGACTTTGTCCTGGTACTGGCTTTGTCTCATTGTGCATCCCTCACTCATCCACCCATCCCCAGTGTTCCCCTCCAGTCCCTTCCCTTCTCCCTCCCCTGCCCTTGGTGGGCCCATGGAGATCTCACGTTCGCAAGTTTGGGCTGGCCGGTCAGCTTGGAAGCCGTAGCTTGTAGCTTGGAAATCTTGAGCGTGTTTTGTATATTCCCACCCGTCAGGTTAGGGCCGTGAGATTGTGAAAGCCTGACGGCAGGTGCCGCCGACCCTGAAAAACATCGACGACGACCAGGAGGGGAAAGAGGAGAATGATAACGAGGAGGAGGAGGCGGAGATAAGGAGGAGGAGGAGGAGGAGGAGGAGGAGGAGGAGAAGGAGGAAGAACAGGACTCCCCCTTGGGACCCCCCCCCGGGGAGAAGGTCCGGAGGAGGACAGGTTAGGGCCGTCAGATCTTAGGAACAGGCCTCCCGACTGGCCCACCCCGCATACCGCGGCCGCCAGATCCCCAGGTCCATCGAGTGGCCCCCGAGTCTCCCGCTGCCCGCGCCTTCGACGGCCATGGCAGAGCTGAACAGAGCAGCGCACAACAGAGCACAGCATGGCATTTAACATGACCAAGCATGGCGTTCAGTCGGGCATGTCCCTCTTCAGGGGGAATATTCAAAAATAGTACAAAAATAGTCAGGGGACAATTTTTGGAGTATTTTTTCGACTATTTGGTGGGTATTTTGTGAGTATTTTTAATTCCCGGAAAGGGCTTGAGCCCAGGGTTCTCTTTTAGTCGTTTACCCCCGGAATTGACAGGAAGCGGGCTGGCGGATTTATTCTGCGATAAATTACGTGCGGGAAGAGGGCCGGCGGAATTATGTTTGAGGATGTCTCGAGCGAAACGCTTGTCTTTCAGAATTTGTTGAGGATGTCTCGAGCGAAACGCTGGTTTTGCAGAGTTGGGGATGTCTCGAGCGAAACGTTGTTTTCAGAATTTGTTGAGGATGTCTCGAGCGAAAACGCTGGTTTTGCAGAGCCGACCGCGACACGGAAAAGCGCCCCGCGTAGGAATTCCGAGGATGTCTCGCGCGTGCCGCGTCCCGCGCGCAGGAATTTCGAGGATGTCTCGACTAATTCGTTTGTTTTTCGAGGATTTCCTTGGCCACACAGGTGGGTATCTAACATGTTCTGCCCGAGCTGGCACCACGTTGCTTCACGTGTCCAGGGCACCCAGGTGGGTATCTAACATGGTGGTCCCGAGCTGGAGCCATGTGTTTTCACATGTACAGGCCACCCAGGTGGGTATCTAACATGTTGGTCCCGAGCTGCAACCACGTGCTTCACCTGTCTAGTCCACCCAGGGAGTGTCTAAGATGGTGGTCCCGAGCTGGAACCACGTGTTTTCACGTGCCCAGGTCGCCCAGAGGGTGTATCTAACATGGTGGCCCCGCGCTGGAACCGCCTGTTTTCATGTGTCCACGCCACCCAGTGGGGTATCTAACATGGTGGTCCTGAGCTGGAACCACGTGTCCAAGCCACCCATGAGTTTTCTAACATGGCGGTCCCGAGCTGGAACCACGTGTTTTCACGTGTCCAGGCCACCCAGGGGGTATCTAACATGGTGGTCCCGCGCTGGAACCACGTGTTTTCACGTGTGCAGGCCACCCAGGTGAGTATCTACATGGTGGTCCCGAGCTGGAACCGCGTGTTTTCACGTGTCCACGCCACCCAGGGGGTATCTAACATGGTGGTCCCGAGCTGGAACCACGTGTTTTCACGTGTCCAGGCCACCCAGGGGGTACCTAACATGTGCCTCCTGGATCCTTCCTGGGACTCGGAACGGAACGTCGAAAGTTTGTTTGTATTTGGTATCGATTCGTTTACTTTTTGGCCTCCAGGTGCCTCTGGGCGTTCCTGGGCCCTCCTGTGCTCCAGACGACCGCATGTTAGATATCCCCCCTGGGTGGGCTGGATCACGTGTTTTTACGTGTGCAGGCCACCCAGGGGGGTATCTAACATGGTGTTCCCGAGCTGGAACCATGTGTTTTTTACGTGTCCAGGCCACCCAGGTGGATATCCAGCATGGTTGTCCCGAGCTTGAATCAAGTGTTTTTGCGTATCCAGGCCACCCAGAGGGGATATCTAACATGATTGTTCTGAGCAATGGCCATGTGTTGTAACCAGTCCAGGCTATTCAGGGGTGTATATAGCATGGTTTCCCAAGCTGGGGTATCTAACATGGTGGTCCTGAGCTGGAACCACGTGTCCAAGCCTCCCATGAGTTGTCTAACATGGCGGTCCCGAGCTGGAACCACGTGTTTTCACGTGTCCAGGCCACCCAGGGGGTATCTAACATGGTGGCCCCGCGCTGGAACCACGTGTTTTCAAGTGTGCAGGCCACCCAGGTGAGTATCTACATGGTGGTCCCGAGCTGGAACCGCGTGTTTTCACGTGTCCACGCCACCCAGGGGGTATCTAACATGGTGGTCCCGAGCTGGAACCACGTGTTTTCACGTGTCCAGGCCACCCAGGGGGTACCTAACATGTGCCTCCTGGATCCTTCCTGGGACTCGGAACGGAACGTCGAAAGTTTGTTTGTATTTGGTATCGATTCGTTTACTTTTTGGCCTCCAGGTGCCTCTGGGCGTTCCTGGGCCCTCCTGTGCTCCAGACGACCGCATGTTAGATATCCCCCCTGGGTGGGCTGGATCACGTGTTTTTACGTGTGCAGGCCACCCAGGGGGGTATCTAACATGGTGTTCCCGAGCTGGAACCATGTGTTTTTTACGTGTCCAGGCCACCCAGGTGGATATCCAGCATGGTTGTCCCGAGCTTGAATCAAGTGTTTTTGCGTATCCAGTCCACCCAGAGGGGATATCTAACATGATTGTTCTGAGCAATGGCCATGTGTTGTAACCAGTCCAGGCTATTCAGGGGTGTATATAGCATGGTTTCCCAAGCTGGGGTATCTAACATGGTGGTCCTGAGCTGGAACCACGTGTCCAAGCCTCCCATGAGTTGTCTAACATGGCGGTCCCGAGCTGGAACCACGTGTTTTCACGTGTCCAGGCCACCCAGGGGGTATCTAACATGGTGGTCCCGCGCTGGAACCACGTGTTTTCAAGTGTGCAGGCCACCCAGGTGAGTATATACATGGTGGTCCCGAGCTGGAACCGCGTGTTTTCACGTGTCCACGCCACCCAGGGGGTATCTATCATGGTGTCCCCGAGCTGGAACCACGTGTTTTCACGTGTCCAGGCCACCCAGGGGGTATCTAACATGTGCCTCCTGGATCTTTCCTGGGACTCGGAACGGAACGTTGAGAGTTTATTTGTATTTGGTATCGATTCGTTTACTTTTTGGCCTCCAGGCGCCTCTGGGCGTTCCTGGGCCCTCCTGTGCTCCAGACGACCGCATGTTAGATATCCCCCCTGGGTGGGCTGGATCACGTGTTTTTACGTGTGCAGGCCACCCAGGGGGGTATCTAACATGGTGGTCCCGAGCTGGAACCATGTGTTTTTACGTGTCCAGGCCACCCAGGGGGATATCTAGCATGGTTGGCCCGAGCTTGAATCACGTGTTTTTGCTTATCCAGGCCACCCAGAGGGGGTATCTAACATGATTGTTCTGAGCAATGGCCATGTGTTGTAACGAGTCCAGGCTATTCAGGGGTGTATATAGCATGGTTTCCCGAGCTGGCACCATGTGTTTTTATGTGTCTAGGCCATCCAGGGGATATCTAACATGGTGGCTCCGAGCAAGGACCATGCATTTTAAGGTTCCGTAGCGCGTCCCCTCGGCACGTCCCGCGGTGCGTCCCCGTGTCACGTCCCCTGGCACGTCGCCTGGCGCGTCCCTTGGGACGTTCCGCGGCGCGTCCTCCTGGCATGTTCCCCTGTCAAGTAGCTCTGGGGCAGCTACTATGTGCTGAGGCAGCTCGAGCTTAAGATCCAGATCAGTTCGGTCAGGACTCGGATGCCAGGGAGGACTCGATCCACAACGCTATAGAGCACAATCGCGGCATGGCACATGGCAGTTTAGCACAGCGCAGCACAGCACAGCCCTCGGCACGGTACCTCAAGATCGATACACTCAGCATTGCAATCTGGCACGTTCCGTGGCGCGTCCCGTGGCGAGTCCCCCTGGCACGTCGCGCGGCGCGTCCCTTGGCACGTCCCGTGGCACGTCCATTGGCACGTTCCGCAGCGCGTCCCCTCGGCACGTCCCGCGGTGCGTCTTTGTGGCACGTCCCTTGGCACGTCGCCTGGCGCGTCCCTTGGGACGTTCCACGGCGCGTCCTCCTGGCATGTTCCCCTGTCAAGTAGCTCTGGGGCAGCTACTATGTGCTGAGGCAGCTCGAGCT